ATAGAGAAGCGTAATTGAAATTTCATGAATAATATAGTCTCCAACCCACCTAATAAATGAGACAGAACACCACCCAAACAACAACAACAAACTAACCACCATGATTGAAGCAAAACTTTTTAAACTTGGAGATTGACCGACTGGATGCATATGTTGATGGATATGTTTTAAGGATGAGAGAAGAGTTACAGACAGAAGACACAGTTACACATCACGAATCATAATGAAATACTGGAGAAGATTTTTGTCGAATACATTTTCACTGCGGATATGGCCTTTTCAGCAAGTGATTTTCTTTTAATTTTTTCTATATTTCCATTTTTTTTTCTATTGCGTGTTTATTCTAAATTATTTATTTGTCTGAGAAACAAATGATATTTTTCCATTGTTTAAAAAATAGGCTCTTAAACTGTAATCCGACTGGCATTAACTTTACAGTCTTCAACTTTTCGTTTTTATTCAAATTAATCCTTTAATAAACATCCTCTATGGTAAAGACTTTTGTGTTTGTTTTGGTTCAATCAAAACATATGTTTCATGGTGGTGATGGAAACAGTGAAATGCAATGTTGTTCAAGAGGTCATTCGCGGATTATATAGGTTTAGGAACCCATGTTATATGAACATGTACTCCTAGTGCAGTTAATGAAATGGCGGAAGCTTTAACAAAATTCAGACAGAGAATGCTTTATAAGAGAAACTGCTTGCAAGAAAGGCCCTACTTTTGGTAAACAATGAATCCTTTTACTTGAGGAAGAGTAGGGTGTCCCAACCGATAAAATATGTAACGGTTGCAGTATGTAAAATATGCAGAATTTAAGATAATATAAAACTAGATGGGTGCCCCTTGTCTGCCTAATTTCGGACTAACCTCCATTTTATAAATTATATAAATAAAAGAAATATATGAAAGAATGAAGAGGATAGTTGAAAACTTATATCCTGAAAACTGTTGAAAACAGTTAGAAAAAATCTTATGTGGATCACGAGATTTGGGCGCAGTATCCGAAAACCTGCACGACGGCAGTGATATGCTGGAATTCCACCTTACATGTAAAATAAAATATTACACGGCCACTAACAACTTTTATATGTAATATTTAAAAAATATATATAATATGCGTAGCAGAATCCCTTAACACTAATCTCTGCAACAGCAAGTTGGCCACGGAAGCGATGTAATTTAACTAAAATCAGACAAACACTGGGATGTACAAAGACACAGGGTGAAAGATGAATATCAAGGAATATGATAAAAAAAAAATCCTAAGTATGTCTAATTTTTATTAATAAATGAGAGAAGTATATTTATAAATATAATTCCTTTGATTATTTTAAAACCCCCACAAACCCGGGGAGGGGGATCTCGGGCAGCGTGGCTTTTCCTGGTGGACGGTCACTCATCCAAGTGCTAACCATGCTCGGCTTTGCTTCACTTGATTACCTATTGCAAGCGCCTTAGCCCGCACGACTACCTTAGCCCCATATATATATACATTATTCATTCGTGTAGATTAATTGTTATTAAATTTCATATTACACCTTCTCCCCACCACCACCCCCATCGATGTCTGCGCATATGATGTGAGGTCAGTATATTATATACGAGGTCAATATTGTTTAAATACAATGATGGGTTTCATAGAACTTATCTATAACTATGGATGTCTATCATTGAAGAAATGCGGGTTCACGTGTTGTTTATGTCTTGCTGTAGAGTAATTATGTAATTATTTTAAAAAATATATATTTTTTACTTAGCTGTCTTAAGCAGTATATTAACGGAAATGAAAGAGAATGATCGATATTGCCTATTCATTCTTAAGAACGTCAATGAATTTCACCTTAAAGATAATAAGAGAATTTGTTATAAACTCTGATAATATTTTAAATTCTAATAGTACTTTTAAATATTATAAGATATACTAGCCTTTGTTTATATGATAATAGTCCTAATGAGCGAAGTGACCTACCTTATTACCTGATAAGTATTTGGAATAATTTTATAATTTGAATATAAAATAATATATTAAAATATAAAACAATTTTTTTTTTCATTTAACTTAAAATAAAAATACAATTATTTTGAGAGAAAAAAAAGATAAACAAATTGAAGATATTTACGTAGCAAACGAAATCCCTTTAATTTACAATTAATTTGTTTTTGGATTCTTGGTTTTATAAAATTAGAAATGTTTGAGATAAAAATACAAGTGATAAATAAAAATTAATAAATAATTTGAAGCACTCGGAGAAGCAATCGATCAGTTGAAACTCGGACTGTCGACCTTTATCAATGAACTACAATTCCTCTTTGCATAGGTATCAGTTAGGTTCATTATCTTCTCTTCAAGGCGGTTTATTTTAGTACTTCAATGAAGAATTAATACCTATAGTATATATATATATACCTATATTTAGTAATATATTAGTTACGAAAACACATAGGTCTCAATTAAGACATAGCTGTTTGTTTTGTTTTTTTGTGCTTTTTTTTGTTTATAAATGAGAATATATGAGTGGTCTCATATCAAAGACGGACATCTTTGCGGTGGAAGAGCGAGTTAATGCGCCTTTGACAAATTTGTATCTTGATTTCAAACATCGTTCGCGGGATTTAATAACAAAAAAATTCCCATTTAATCCACCAAGATGCTTCAGTAGATCTGAAAGTCCGGTTATTGTAAACCATTTGCTTTCTGAATATCGTCAAGAGAACGAAACGATCGCAACTGTCTCCAAAATCTTATAGCTGCTAGAAGACTAATGGCTGAAGTCAAAGAAGTCAAGAGTTCTAAATAAAAAAATGTTTGTCATGTATTGACAATTTACACACACACACACACACATATATATGTATATATATATATATATATATATATATATACATATATTTTTTTTTTTTTTTTTTTTTTTTCCCTACGTGGTAACCTCACACAAGGATCGTTTATTTGATTTTCCTTCATGCTCCATGCCTTAAAGACATACTACATGAATTACATTTGTTTACAATTTTTTTTTTTATCTATTTTTACATGATATACATTTTTAGTTCAAATTTATATACATTAACAAACAAAAATACAAAGAATAAACACACATAAATTAAATCGGAAAATTAAACATTAAACACACAAAGTCAATCCAACAAAACCAAAAAGAAATCACCCACGCTGCCCATCTCTGGTTAGTAAGTCGAAGTCGATCGATCTAATAAATCTAAGAAAGTCTGTCTTGAATTCAGTAAATAACTTTTGTTCCGTCTCAGGCCAATTTCCACTTTTGATGATTATGCTTTTTATTAACTCAAATCGCTGTCTGTCAAATCGTTTACATTCATATACTATATGTATAAAATTTTGAACCTGTCCGTCTTCATCGCATAAGTCTGTTTGTATAATGTTGAATCTTTTAAGATATTGTTTTGTATTCCCATGTTCCGTAAGTACTTGCGTAAGTTTGTAGTCATTACTGTGAATGTGTTTGTAATTGTGAATTGAAATGTGTGGTATAAATCTGTGTAAGCTTGGTGACTTAGCTGAGGTCACCCATATGTGATCCCATCTTTTGATGAAATCCAACTTTAAATTCATCTTAATATACGATAAAGGAGCTTGATGATACGATGGCGGCAAATCGCTTTTAGCTGCTTCTTTTGCAAGGCAATCGGCTCGTTCATTGCCCTCAATCCCACAATGTGCTTTTACCCATTTTAGAGTCACTACTTTCCCTACAGTTCTCATTATTAACAATTTGTTTCTAATTTGGTCAGTCAAGTAATCATGAATGTCCCAATTATTAACAGAGTCTAGTAGAACTTTGTTGTCTGTATTTATAGTAACGTGAGTGTTCGTTTGTAGAGGGTATTATATATATATACAATATGAAATATGACGAACTTACACATGTTATGATGTAACTAAAAATATCAAACAAAAATTGAGATATTGATAATATGTTTCATGAATTAAAAATATATAGTCAAATTAGTTCAAACAAAATTTGAGTATTATCAACACAAATATTGTAGTTAGGCTAGGATCAGGGTTTTGATTAGCTACTGGATCTCACCGATCTGATCTAGTGATTGATTGGCAATCCGCTTAGTGGTTAAATAAAAAGATAAACATAGACAAAAATCAAAAGAACCAGAAACCTCTTCCCAAATTCGAAAGAATGGCTCTTCCTTTAAAATAAATAAAATTCCGGTCAATAGGAAAGGCTGAAAAATAAGTGGGGGGAGTGGGTGAAGAGAATTCTTGGAGGCAGATTGCTCAGTGTAAGTGGTCGAAAGAAAGGTTGGAAGCAATGCCTAGCGACAAAGTATGTGCATCGTTAAAAAAGGATACAAACTCTATACTTTCAACAATAAAGACATACAACAATTTGTCATTATTTTTAGCTCAAATTGTTTCAATTTACTCGCGAGATCTCACTAAATAATCACACTTACCAACCACACATAATCACACCAAGCCAACCAACTTTAAATTAGATCCAGACGTTCCTTCAAAAAATCGTTACATTCTTATAAGCGGTCCTGATAGGTAAAATCAACGAGATCTCATGGCAAGCGTGGCATCTAGGTGGCTATCGCAAAATTGACTGGTTCGATAAGATTCGTGAAAAACTTATGTTCGCTTTGAAAATCTTTAAAATACAATTGGTTCTTTCTTAATTCGTTAGCTTAGTACCGTAGTAGTTTTGAAAACTCCTACTTTCTTCAATAACTTTTATTGAAGTTGTACTAATCGAAAATGGGCTTCGAAGTTCATTTTCTATACACATTGTTTGTCAAAATCCATCGTTGCTTAAAGACGGAAAAAAAAAAAAAAAATAAATAAAATATATTCTAAAGTATTTTACCGTAGCAGAGCATCAATGTGTATTAACCAATATGATATGGCATAACTTTATAAACAACAGATCACTGCTAACAAGACTTTTCTAAGATGTCTGTGGTTACCTCGATCCTAGTAAGAACTCAATGTTGCTTTACAGGTGAAGGTCAGCTTTTTAGTCTTCTCACTTCACTCTTTAACAACAGAATCAACAACACATCTCCATCACAGACGGGAGTTCCTGTAAGTACCATCCGACCTCCTTATCAAAGCAGACCCACGAAAACCCCAAGAACAACAACAACTATCAGCCCCCCGCTGGGAAACGACAGCGAAACACTGGTCGGTGCACAAGCTACGACGCTCAACGGCTTCGTCGATTGCGTGCGGCGCTGCGATGGTCGACCTAGGACCTGCTATTTTAGGCTACATGTCGAGAGATATTCTGTTCTTGGAGGGTTAGTACTGTTCAATTATTATTTATCATAGTGTATTTATGTGTAACAAACCTCTTTGAATTGTATTGATTACTAAACATAAAGGCATCGGTATCTATAGGTAAATGTACCCTTTAATGTTTGAAATGGCCTCATTTCTCCCTAACAATATTTGGAATAGTCCGTATGTTTATGGTACGGGCGTAAAATAACTTAAAACTTTACATAAATGCATTACCAAATGACGATAAGTTCATCATTATTTTTGCAAATATTCGTGTTGATAGTAACGTCTGAAGCTTTATAAAATAATTTTTTTATTTCTCTCGTACCTGCGTTTTTATAACTTTTAATTATGCGGATAATACGCAAATACTATTTTTTTTTACGAGTACTTAACTTAAATGGACGCGATTAAAGCTATAATGCCTACCAAAGAACACAATTCCCAGAACATATATAATTGAACTATACTGTTATGAATTGAATTGATATTTGATGACTGGTTTCCTGGTTTCCGTTACAAAAAAAATAATTAATTTGAAACTTCTCAATTCTGTCCGCTTCTGTTATAGAGGGCGTCCGGTGCGAGGAAGACCTCAATAATATTACATTATTCAAAATTTGATGTTTTTTTTTAGAAATGTCCGCTACAGGGGATTGTATTGTAAGAGAAATTTTACTATATATCATGATAAACTCCAATAATTAGGACAGAACCACGTCTATGATTAATAAAAATTTTTTGAGGGGTCATAAGTTATATTAATTACTGCATTAATATTATTAATATAAATGGATTAAAATTTCAGAGCTTGCCGGAGATGTGCTTTCGGTAATCCTTCAGACTGTTTGAGGCCGCAATGCGTCACTGCCAATGGAGCTTTCAGGGCACTGGTCGCAGTCAACAGGCAATTGCCTGCTCCACCCATTCAGGTGAGCAAAGCAGGTAAGCTATTCTTAGCGAATAGCAATAGTTATAGAATCAGATTCGATATAATTATACTATTCTTCTTTAAACTGTCAGGAGAATGTTCCCCATTCGCCGATGAGGCGAGCGAATGAACGCTCTTTATTATATAGGAGATTCTAAAAAAAAAAACTGCTGGGTCGTTGTAAAGGACGGGATTGGGTCGTGGAGTATTCTAGCTGCCATTGACAATCCATACCCAAGGAATTCTATAAAAAGAGAAATAATAACGTATGGTGGGAGATAAAAAATATGGTTATGTCAGTAGTCTTGGGTACCACTCCACAGCGACATTTTGGAAAATTAAATAGCTGAACATGCGACCCATTTAGCTAGAAGTAAAGAAGAAACGAGTGTGACTATATTGAAAGAGGTTACTTTTGAAGACTGAATATACCACACGAAGACACTACAACACAATAAACATAATGAGAAAAAGAACGGAAAAAACAAAAAGTGTAAAATTACAGAAGTAAACCTAATTGTGGTGAATTGCGCAGTTCGAGAGAAGAAATTATGCTGTGCCGCCTTAGAATCGGTTACTTCCAGTTTACATATGGTTACCTTCCGCGAGATCTCGAAGCGCCCACGTGCGAAAAATACAATAATACGTCGTAAACAGTGAAGAATGCTCTACTGGAAGAATTCTCCCAAATTTGTAAATTACAGAAAAAAAAATGGGCCTAGAAAAACATTAAGAGAAATGTTGCATGGTAGTCAAGAACAAGGGTAGTGTATAAAGTAACTACAACAGATTGTAAACTTTAGTATAAAGCCAATGACCCTTTAGGGTAGAGGTAAGAAAGAAAGAAAAAAATATACTATTCGATTTTAATTATATATTATGATTCATCCATTTTCCATGGTAGTAACACTATTCTGTTGTTTTGCAAGTTATTTCATTATTGTACATGAGGTGGTTATCGTATAAATGTATGGAATAATTATTTTGTAATTTGCGAACATGAAATATATTTATAATATTCGCAGGTGTGCAGAGGCGACCGAATCGTGGCCGACGTGGTCAACGCAATGCCGGATGAGGCCACTACGATCCATTGGCACGGGCTCAGGATGAACGGACACCAGTACTACGACGGTGTCCCCTACGTCACCCAGTGCCCCATTCAACCGGGCAACACCTTCAGGTACATATTCACAGCTGATGAAGCGGGAACATTTTTCTACCATTCCCACGTAGGTTCGTACTCTCCGTTTAATCAATGTATTATTGTTCCTTTGTAGTTATTCTACATTTTAAATGAAAATAACATCGATACAGGCATACAAAAGATGGACGGTTTGGCTGGAGCACTCATCGTCAGGGACACATCCGACAGCCAATCGAATCTCTATACTGAAGATCGACCCGACCATGTGATCTTCATTGGCGATTGGACCAATATGCCAGGAGAGGAATATTTGCCTGGCTATAACAATGATAATATCGTACAAGTTCCAGACAGTATGTTGATCAACGGCAGGGGTATGCATTGGGTAAGTGAACGGTTACTATAAAGTTACATATTCAGAAATATTCTTACTAAAATGGAACCCACATACCAGACTTAAAAGACAAGAGCTTAACCGACGACTTGGCCAGTTATACAGACTACTTAACAGAAAATCTAACCTCTCAATTGAAAACAAACTATTAATATACAAGACCATACTGAAACCCATCTGGACCTACGGATTTGAACTGTGGGGGAGAACAAAATTATCGAACATCAAACGCATCCAATCCTTCCAGTCTAAAATCCTCCGTATAATAGTCAATGCTCCTTACTATGTTACGAACAAAACCTTACATCATGACCTTAACATCCCTTATGTCCTTGACGTTATTCCATCCCGATTTTCAAATTTTCATCAGAACCTAACCTATCATCCTAATCCCTTAGCACAATCCTTATCTAGTTCCAGTCATCCCTACAATCCTCCTCGGTTGAAGCGGCAGTGGCCTCGAGATCTTTTGTAAAGACGTCATTGGAGTCCTGGCAATGGCCAGCTTCTCCACTCAAGTCATAAGCGTATGTGGCTTAAGTGCCCTGTCTCAGTCTCCACTGGATTCCCATCCTAGTGATGCGGCTGAGAGAGAAGCGCTGGGATCTCTTGGAGTCTTGCCTTGTCCTCCACACGTGGGGGAAAAGGCCCGACTCGGAGCTCCCTTGCCTGACTGTAAATATTGTAAATAAGTTTGAATGTGTTTTTATTTATTATTTTTTATTTATTTATTTTTTTTATTTTAGTTTTTATTTAATGTTATACCAGTTTGATTTATTCTGTTACTCCAAGTTTTATTTTATTTTATTTTCTTATAATCTTGTTGTTCTTTTATTGTATATATGGTATGATTGTACTTCATTCATCATAAATACGCAATGCCCTTAATTGAGGCAAAATGTATTTTTTTTCTCAATAAAAAAAAAAATAAATAATAATAATATTCTTACTACGGTGACTGGATCTGGTTTCAGTTTCATAGCTCTTTTTCTTAGATTAGATTTTTTCTAAACAATGCGATACATTCATTAAAAAGATTTTAATTAGTTATGGTCCATTCATTATAACTTTTATGTACCATTTCCACCTTAAAACGTCTAAATTACTCCCGTCACCTATTTCCCCATGAAACCCATAGGCTCATAGTCACTTCCTTAATTTTTCCCCACTTTGACTATTGCTGTACGGTATATTGGGGCGTCTCTGGGGATCTCGAAACGAAACTAAAACGCTTGATAAATTGCTTTGTACGATTCATCTTCGGGATCCCAAGGGACGTCTCTGTTTCCCGTTTTTATTTAGAGTTGAACTGGCTTTATCCTTCCTACCGTCGTAAGTATTTCCTGGCATCCTTCCTCTTTCAAGTCATCCAATCCCACCGACCTTCATACATATCCGAGTTCATACAATTCAAATCCTCTGTTCGCTCCCGCGAAACCCGTTCCAGGTCTTCTGATTTATACATAACGGCCCACCGAACTTCTGCTTTCGACAGATCTGTCATTATCCGATTCTCATCCCTATGGAACTCCATCCCTCCCGACTTTCATCAATCCAAAACCCTTCCTACCTTTAAAACCCTCCTGTTCAATCATTTTTTATCCATGCAGTCTCCATAAAATTGTAAATAGACACCATTGTAAATATGAATATAAATTTTTAGATTGTTTTTCATTATTTTTATTTTATTTTCAAATTTTTATTATCAGCTATTATAAGTTAGAAAGTAACTTATAATTTTTTAATATGACTATTTCATTACTCAGTTTTTTTATATATATATATCTCTGAGGGTCCTTAGTCCACATTACTGTCCTTCTATATTATTCTAAAGGGACTCGTCCCAGAATAAATAAAGTATTATTATTATTATCATTTCGCTTGAGGAGAAGGTTTGTATCAAGACATATTATATTGACAAATTATATTAATTGTTCCACCATTGTTTCAGAACGGAAGCTTCAATTTACCCCTTTCGGAGTTCAGAGTGACCAGAGGTCAAAGATACAGATTCCGCATCATCGGTGGTACCTGCATGACCTGCGCGGTAGCCGTCAGGTTCCAGGGGCACCGGGTCATAGCCATTTCCGCCGATGGCAACCTCAAGTACAATCCCAGGACTGTAGATTCTGTCATAGTTAATTCAGGTAACTTTTATGTATAAGATAGCACTTCAAAGTGACCAACAATTAATTATCAAACTATAAATTTAAATATACAACATCCTCATCAACTTTAAATCACAAAAGAAATTATGAATTCAGAGAATTTTTAACTAGCAGATAATCATATTTTCCAAATAAAAAAAAAAAAGAAAAAAGACCTGTAGGATTTTTCAGTTTGAAAGTTGCTAAATGAGATGAAATCGGATTAAAAACAACTACTGATTGATTATAATTTTAAATTTGTTCATTTCATTCTTAATATATGACATTGAAGTTGCGTCGAAAATACCTTCTAATATTCGAGATCCCAGGCCTGTCTCTCGGTTTTATGAATAGTTGGTTTTATTCTTACCGTCGTAAGTATTTTCTGCCATCCTTCCTCTTCCAAGTTGACCCATTCGGACGTACGTCATTCAAGTCCGAGCTCCTTCAATCCAACTCTTCAGTGCGTTCCCGCATTACACGTTCCCGGTCTTCATATTTATATGTTACAACAGTTAACGTTTCGAAGGCAGTGAAGTCTTTATAAGTAATATTTTAATTCATAATGCCTGTCACAAATAGCATCTTAAAATACAGAGTGATACAATGAATATATGGGTTGACTACAAGAGTTCACTCCATGTCTCCACTCAGGTTACACTAGTGCGACTTCAAGAGTGTAACTGCAAGAGTGATTTGTCCTGAGGAGCATGGGAGATCCTACTCAGGAATAGTAAGGGGGGTGAAGGAAACGTGGGAAAGAAGTTATTAACTATTAAGATTGATATCCTTATCTTTCAGAATTGATATGAAGTCTGTGAGAAAGAGGCCTTTTGATGAAATCTATTATTGTTCCCTAAGTTTTGGTAATAGGTCTTACGTCCAGTCGGTACATTTTAGATAACTATTTCTAAACTATCAGACCTGGCTATCTAGGGATAGCTTTGTCCTTTTATCCTTTGAGTTATGAGAATTGTCAATACAATACATGATTCATCAATTGCCATATTTAATAAACTCAATTATTAAAATAAAAGTAAAATTTAATATTAATATTATTATTTGTTACGGACTAAGTCCATTACGTAACTCAACGACACACTAAACCGCGGATTTCGAAATATTTTTCATTATTTGATTATCGTTCCTATGCAACTCAAACCCTTAACTCCAATACGCTTCCTATCCTTAAATCCTGCTTTTTCAATCACTTCCAACCGATCCAGTTAACAAAATATTGTAATTTGGTGCTTCTGCAAGTATGTATATAAATTACTAGCTCATTAATAATTGATATTATTTCATTTTTCTTTCATTTATTTTCGCTAAATTGATTATTGTATAAGTTAATTTATATATTTTTTTTATATTTGTGTATACGTTTTTATATAACTGTAAAGCTATAAAACCCATTATTCTGTTATTGTAAGGAACTTGTCACAGAATAATTAAAGTACATTACTATTATAAAGAAACGTAGAACAGGGCCTTTCGGTCATTCGGTGCCCAATATTGCAAATTGGGGAACGTCTAGTGTTTCCCAAATGCGAGACCGTTACATGTCTTGGTCTTGCAAACTCAGTCTTGGTCTTGCGCAAGACTCTCGTAACAGTCGTACAGTTGCCTATTGACTGACTACTAGAGAGATATTGCTGTATTTTTTTAGATTTAAGAAACCTAACTGAGTCTTATTGAAAAATTGGAAGAGTTAATTAGGGTTACACCAATTCTTTACATATAGTAACCATTTGTCGAGTATTATTAACTATTTTACCTCAATTTTTATTCAAGAAATCGATTTTTTTACCAGCCTTGGTCTTGTTCTCGCAACAGATAGGCGGTGTTGGTCTTGGTCTTGCACTTTGCAAGACTAAGACTGATTTTGGGCAAAACTATGAACGTCATTCGGCGCCCTCGGGCAATGACGTCATCTTCCCCTCTCCTAAGAAAAAATAATTTATTTCTTAAGCTGCTTTATATTATTTAATATTTAAATTGTATTTCATTCAATATTTTTAATATACAGTTGCTTTATTAATAGGCTAAAATCAACTATTTTAATAAGTTATGTGGCAAGAGCCCCTTATGAACAGCACCTCAGGGCGAATGCTCTATGTTAGCTCCCTCTTAGTTTATTTCAAACTTGGAATGAAGCCTAACTATTTAATTGTGATTTAATAAAAGAAAAAGGAAAAAGAAATAAAGTGGACTGTATCTTCAAACATTTATTTTGGAACATTTACGAAATCTAATATTGAAAACATAAAAACAAAATTAATCAATTTTACACTTGTTAGATAGGTAAAAAAATAACAAACTTCTAGCATAAAATAAAGACCAGCTGAACAAACAATTGTGACAATAATAATGAAACATTTTAATGCTTGATCATAAATTAATACTATTTCTATGGCCCAAATTATAATAAAAAAAACAAAACAACTTCTCTAAAGTCCCAATATGAAATATATATATATATATATATATATATATAACAAATAATTAGATTTTACAACGTTACGTGGACGAAGCAGGACGTTCGTAAACCTCTGTCTCTCTGCAGAAACCAATTGTAACTCTTCAATGAGCGTGCTCAAAACGAACTGCAAATGGGCAGCGGCGAGCACGACGAGAAAAGTACGTCTCTTCAGAGTAGAACTGCAATGGGCAGTGTAGAAGTTGGCGGTACTCAACTCAGTGGCGGGCGGAGTCAGACCGTCTCTTGTCAATTCTACCGCCTTCTGACTTGAACCTAGCACTTGTTTATAGCTAGTGCTACTACAATCCATAACAAAGTAGTCCAAGTATAAACTATTGATCTATTTAATATGAACAATATAAGCTATGGGCCTATAATACTTAATATACACCTATCTTATACATAAATATACATATTATTAATTGATTTCACTTTGCTAAAATAAAACAAATCAACAATTAATCAAACTAGTTATGTGTAAAATAAATTGAATTAACGCTGTGGCGTTTTTAACTGTAAAAATAAAATAAGTTAACGCTGTGGCCTCTAGTTGTCCCACCCTAAGGCCTGCACTGCCTTAGAATATGCGTTCTATCCTTAATTATCTCATCTTCTTGCAGCTGACCGTTTTGATGTGATACTGGAAGCGAACCAAAACGTCGGTACTTATTACATTTACGCCCAAACTTTCCAGGACTTCTGTAACGGCATATACCAAGCTGCCATTCTCAGGTACGAAGGTTCCAACAGCGTCGCCAACCCAAGACCCCCACCACTCTCTTCGAATCTTGGTGTGGTGAGTACATATCCTTCCGGTATCTTACGACACAAGTGACATCGTGATATTGATAACTTATATCTTTATTTTATTACAGCAACTTAACTCAATCAATTCGACTTGTAGCGCCACGAACGGAAACGAGCTCTGTATCAGCAATTTGCAAGGTGTGACTAACGCTCCAGCAATCGGTAATGCTTTTTACGCCTACCTCTTTATTGGTTTTGACTTCTATATCTACAATGATGACGACCTTTTTAGACCGGGGACGTATCAACATTACGATGGTAAGTAATTGAGTAGTATTACAATTACACACAAACATATATATGTTTTAGGTGTATGTCAACCTGTATTAAGAACTTTTACTAGTCAAAAAAATCTTAATCAGGCTGGAAGAAGTTCCTAAGTGCAGTTAAGACTTCTCATTGTGGTGCTACAAAATATATATTTTAAAAATTGATTTGTTCTTGTAGCTGTTGTGATATACAATTTTTTTTTTTCTTTTTTATAATATTATTCGCTAACAATTTATAGCATAGTTCTAAGAGTACTATATAAGTAGATATAAGAATTTCACTTGAGCATGACGATTATCCTTAAATAAATAATAATAATAATAATATACTATATTTCTTTTGTTTTTTACAGAGCCTGTTAGGGGTAGAAGAGTAAAATCATTAATTAACAACGTTTCTTTCGCCTTTCCGCCGAGCCCCATGATATCTCAATTCAACGACATACCGCAAAGTTCTTTCTGTTCATCTGAGTGTTACTCACAAAATATTCAGAAGGCATGCAGCTGTACCAACTTCTACAATCTTCCATATAACACCATCGTCAATATGATTATCTATGACTTTGGTAAGTATATTTAAAGTAATTAATATGATGAAATTTCATTTTAATTGAAGAGTCAAGAAAATAAATATAGTGATATTATGGAAATAATGGAATTAAGCTAAATACCAATATTATACATTTCTAGTCATCATCAAACGATAGTACTATTCTATACTGTGAACTTCACTAGGGATATTACAATATCTTCCGGCTCTTAATGCCACTGACCTCATCTATCGTTTTTTATTATTATTATTATTATTTTTTATTGGAATATAATTAAATCTGTACCTCCAGCATTTGACAATGATGAGTCTACATATAAATCATTATTTAAAGACACTGATATTTTATATTGTCAGCTTTGTCTTTTCTTTGTTAGCAGAAACACACCTCATTTTAAAGAAGAACTCAATGTATTTTTTATTATTTTATTTTTCAAAATAGTATTATTATAATTTTTCCTACTGTACATAGTCTTAAGTTTTGTATCACATAGTTTTAAGTGTTTTGTATATAGATTTTTTTTTTGTATATAGCTTGTTTAACTAATGTTTTCTTTACTTTCTCTTTTTTATTATTGTTTTATTTTGGCCAAATGTAATATTTTAATTATGTTCTATTTTGTTATTCTAAAGGGACTTTGTCCCAGAATAAAGTTATTTTCTATTATTATTATTATTATATTGGGCACATGCGAATTATTTCAGTAAATTATGATAAATATTATGAGAAGGAGTTAGTCGAGGGTGCAGTCAAATAAATAAAAAAAAAATTAAAATATATAAATAATTTGATATAAATTATTTATATATTTTAATTTTTTTTTTAATTTTTTTTTATTTTTTTTTTATTTATTTGACCGCACCCTCGACTAACTCCTTCTCATATCATATCAACGGTCAACCATCTCTACATCATTATGATAAATATTGCTCTTTTTATTGAGTGGAAACAGAACTTTAAACCTCTCATGGGTTTTTAATGCTTCTTCATACCATTTACATAATTAAGTAATTAAAGTAATCATTTGCAGGGGACATTGACGGGTTTGCTCACCCGTTCCACCTACACGGCTACAACTTCTACGTGATCTCGATGGGAAGGTTACCGTCAACAGACCCGAACCAGAGGCAACAGTTTCTAAACCGACAGATGGATCAACTCAACAACGACAATATAGACCTCCGGACCCGGCCCCAAAGGGACACAGTCTCCGTCCCCCCAAGAGGATATGTCCTTATAAGATTCGTCACCGACAACCCAGGTATATTACCTTTGTCTTCCCTTACAATAAGCACAGGTAATCATTAACTTAAGCATTGATATTTATTGAAATAAATTATCATATCGTTTAGACTGAATGGGGTAAATAACAGGCGGTACAATGCGGCGCATTGGTGTGAAATGCATTACAGATCTGGAGCCAGGTGGCTTACTTACGAAAATGTATGTTATTTTAAGTAAAATAAATCGTGTCTGACTTTTCAGAGCAGATACTTTAAAAAATGGCGGCTGATAAAAAAAAATATTAGACCAGTAACTTGAAGAGCGAATCGGAAAATATACTACAAAAAATGTGGGAAAAGTTTTTATTTTTTTTACTTGAATATATGGGTTTAAACATGTAAAAAACAAAATTGCGAACGCAGTCCCCCAAGAGAAAACTTTACAGCCAAAAGAGTTGAAAACGGTTTCAATAAAATGAAGCGATTCACGAATTTTAGGTCAATGTTAATAGTTAGATTAAAATTCTGCGGATTATATTCAAACCGATGACATACCATTATTAACATGCTCAAAATATATCTGTACATCGGAGATAAAGAACACTATGTCCATTTTTGTATTTATTCAGGGAAGCCAATTTTCCATAACCTTGAGCTATTGAAATTTCTTAGTTTATTTAATGAAAAAATGGACATGGTATCCTTTACTTGCAGTGCACAACAGATATTAATATGTATTTCTCTTTGTGATGTTGATTTTTGTTTCCAGGGTATTGGTTCCTGCATTGCCATTTCGTTTTCCACTTGGAGGCGGGGATGAATGCAGTGCTGAGGGTAGGGGAGCAGTCCAACTTGCCCCCCGTTCCACCCAATTTTCCTCGCTGTGGCAACTACTTATCTTCATTTTGAATGCCGTGATTGAAGCGTGTCTGTTGAAATTTACAATAAACTACTTCCCCATAAAAATTGGCTTTTTATGAATACCTGTTACATGATGTAATTTTACCATTATATATATTTTTTTCATATATGTATAAATAACTTAATTCGGGGAAGAAGTACCCTAAGAATAACAAAATGTTACAGAAAAAAAGATATACTTCTGGCCAGAAGAAATAAATTAAATAAAAAGAGTTATATTAAATAAAACCTCATGAAAACAACAAAATATACAAAACTGAACTGAAGAAACTATATATATATATATATATATATATATATATATATATATATATATATATATATATAGATACATAGAAGTCCTTCATAATAATTTAAAAAGAAAGTAAATCGTCGTTTTATTGCAGTATGTTTCATAACCTTAAGTCACTAAGAACGAAAAACCGGATGCTTTTTGTAACTTTACTGTTCACAAATGAATAGGGATATTGTTTATTACGTATGATTTATCTTCTCTAGAATTTTATTTTATTTTTATGCATTGAAAATTAATACAAGAAAATTGTATTTTACCTGGGGAAATTTCATTAAAGATATTTAAAAAAAAAAACGTTTGCCTAGTATGGTCAGTATAGATTCCTCACCGCTTTCATTGGCTAAACAATATGTATATTTCAAGGTCTACAATTTTACCTATAAGTATAAAATCAACGAGAGAATCCGTTTTTATGAAAATAGAGTGATTGATCAGGGAATAATAAATTGCGAAAGAGTTTCTCATTTGCAAATCGCATATTTCATGAATTGTGATTAAAAAAGAAATATCCCAGTACATACTAAAGATGTATATCGCTATTGTTAGTGCAAAAGGCCATATGTAAAAATTGAGTGTTTTACAGGAGAATATAAAAACTAATTATTTCTTTATGATTTATTGGTGAAATTACATATTTTATTTTTCTCTGTTATTTTCCATGCTACCTATTTCAGTTGTATACAACGAAATTTCAGTTTTAGAACCAATATAATATAAATGGTCAATGTTCACATACGACCTTTTGAACTAACAATAGTGACATATACTTAATATGTATGTTTTCACTAGTAAACTGAATGGAACAAAAAATTGGAAAAATTAAATTTTTTGTTTGTTCGGAGTTAACAAGACCAATATTTTTATTCTAGTTGAATTTCAATAGAAACAAACAAATCGCAAATAACACTTTTTTTTTTACAAAAACTAAGAAAAGTAACAATTAATTAAAATTTACTGAAAATTACATGAAATCCAAGTGAAGGTAGTAAATTTCACGCCAGTAACGTTTGTTATCGACCAAACAACACAGTCTAAATTAACTCTTTGAATAAAGCCTAAAATGTTATAAACTCATAAAAATATTGTATTAACCTAATCCCTATTCCATGTAATCAACGCCTTTGACATTTCACAGCCATTATATTGTAAATAGTTATTTATATTAATTTCAATTTTTAAATGGAATTAAATGAAATTGGTACTAGACAATTTCTGAACTATTCTTCAAATTATCTCCAAGTTTGGGTCAAATCGTCTTTTTTTCGAGAATAGAATTTGATAAAATTGATACTTACTTAATTATCTGTTAACTAACTTCCTTCCAAATTTGAGCCAAATCGAACTAACGGTTTTAGAGATATAGACGTATCAAGGCAAACGCGTCTTAATATATATAAGAGAAAGTAGAAGAACGAATTTAGTAAAATTGGTACAGAGTAATTTTTTCCCAGAACCTACTCTTAATTCAACTTTGAGCTAAATCGAACGAACTGTTTCAGAAATATTGGTATGTCTATGGAAATAAATACGCATTCGCAAAAGGAAGTTCGGGATGGAAATTGATAAAATTGATATGTGACCATCTAGGCACCAACCCGCAAAATCCCTAAAAATTTCATGAAGATCGGAAGAATGATAGTAGGTGATATGCCCGTCATATCGATTTGACAACAGACAGACAGACACCGAACCAAATTTGATCCTTGATATCTGAAACGTAACACGCGAGAGAAAATTTTCGATTCTGAGCACAATTTTTTTTAGCCCCTGTCGCACGAATACAATGCTTCCCTACCTGCGGTAGTGAACAAGCAAAAATAATGAAATTAAAAGTTCTTGTAATTTTGCTTTTATGATTGCGAATAGTAAAAATTTTGTAAAATTTAATAACTTGTGTAATATTCCTTGTTACGCACTACTTTTGTGTGTCCTGAATTTTCCCGATATGCAGAGATGGAATAGGGTTGTTAAAGCGGCAAAAAATCGACAAGGTCTGTAATACCAACAGAAAAAAAGGGGAGGGGAGAAGACGACGTCATTGCCCGGAGTTGCCAAATGTCTAAGGCTGATATTGATCTCAGTAGGTGATGGTTAAGAAGCTGCAAATTGTAGTCAACAAGTCTTCTGTGCAATGTATCTCACATGTGCTCAATAGATATGAGATATGGAGACAATACGAGAAGGGGTAAAGATTGTCGTCAAGAAAATGGAAACCTGTACCCATTATGGTCCTGGTTGGAGGAATGTTCTCCTCTATGATTCCTGTAACATAATGAACAACAATGAGATTACCTTCACAATATGGAGTTGGGTCCGTCCTCCTGAGTTGATGCCGTAACATAAAATCACACCCATCCCACCAACTCTAGGCTGCATCGAAGGAAGCACAAACTGAGCACCCATTCCCTGTTCTCTGAAGACTGTTCGGCAACTACGATCGCTATAAATAGAGAAACGCGACTCGTCTGTAAACATAACATATTCCAATTTGAAAGAGTGTCCATTCTCCCCACGGTCGATGGCGCATGAACCTTCATACATTACTCCTAAGTTATTACTTTCCTCTTCTTAAAAAACAGTGCAAGCGAAATTAGAAGGTAAAAAATTGTAGATTATAGAATTACGCATCCTGCAGTCCAGTCCGTACTTCTCCTTGCCTTCTTTTCATTTCGAAAATTCAAAACCCGTCAAAATGTGCCCCCCTCAAACATTTTGACAGCGCTACTTGCACAATGAAACCCCCTTTCTGGGTACCCCTACCAATTTTTGCCTTTTTCTACGAGCTCACTGTGCCATCATCTGCGGAGTTATCGATGGTGGTCTGTTGCTGCAGGTTAAAGGGGACTAAGATGTTAGACCAACTTCTCACAAACGATTACGAATTGTTTGAGTCGATATGGGCCTTGGCAGAAAATTAAACATTTCATTTTGTCTGTGTCGGGCACTTTTTTTTTTTTTTTTGTTCTTCCCTACCTCGCCGTTTAGGCTATACGGGATTTTCCCGGACCGGGGAATTTAAAATCCCCTCTGGCACCGGGATGCGAACTCGTACTTTTCTTGTCTCTCAAATCTTCATATATCTGGTTGCCAGGCGACTCGCGGTGCAGTGCACACGCTTTAGCCTATTCGGCCACCCCGCCCCTCTGTGTCGGGCACTATGAACAGGATTGCTTCTTGCAGTAATAACAACATTTCCGTTATCGCTTGGTGTCGTAATGCGCTGAGATCCAATAACAGGTCTCCTGTTGGAACTTCCGGTTTCTATATCTGGTCGAATCCAACTATATCGGCTTTCGACAATGACGTTCTATACAAAATTTTTAATATGATTTTTATATTTCCTTTTTTTTTTGCTACCTCACTCTGTTTCCGAGATATCCGTCCTCAACTATGGCTAACACTAACGGTACCACTCATTCCCAAGATAATATTATGAAAATCTGTTCAATGATGTCTTTCCATCGTTAACCAAAATATTACTGGATTAAAGTTGATAGAGGTCGAAAACAACTATTGGTTTAAACAAAGAGTATTCTTCATGTTGACTATCCTTTAATGAATAATTTATTAAAAATAAAGATTCCATATTGTCTACTTTTTAAGTTTACTAACAAACAAGAGAATTACTCACATAAAAAAAAAAACATATTTTAATTAAAACGATTCAAATAGAGATATCCCTATTCATTTAGGATCAGTTTATATTTAATGCAAAATGGTTTCTGTCATTTTAGTGCAGTTACTTTTTATCGATAAATAAAGTCGAAATTCACAAAGAAGTTTTCAAAAATATATTTTGTGACTTTTTCCTGTTAACCGACGATGTTATAATTTGTTATTTGAGTTGGCTAAGATCGCTCTGTAAATAACGCACTGAAAGTTAGTTTTAAATAACTTGTTTTTGGCGGGAATAGGCGAATAGCTTCCGTTTATATATCGGGGACCTTAGGTTATTTACACTCCTGAATATTAAAACAAATCCCAGGCACTGGATATAGACTTTTGAGGGTGTTTAACTGTCGTTGGGAATTCGGGAATCTAATACCATATGTGACACTGAGTGAGAAGAAACGATAAGAATATATATATGAAATGTGGGACTTAGTATATACTCTTTGAATGAATTGACTCACCTGGCTTGTTATTCTTCAATCGTGAGGCATATAGGACAACTAAATAAAATGACTTTCACTCCTGTATAATAAAACAATTTATTTTATAACTGTAATAAATGAATGTATAAAAGTCTTGTAACTGTAGCCTTGATATTCTTGGTCTTCAATGTGGTAGGCCTCTCTTCCCAGATGACCTCCTCTCGCCTCCGTCCTTTTGCCTCAAGTGGCTGGCGTCCTCTTCCATCTGCTGCTACCTGATCGCACCTTTTTCCTTCTTTTCGATTGTTTATCGATATGAGATTTTCCAATGAGCAATTTGTACACTGCACCATTGAGTACAATTCACAGTGCAACCTCACATTCCTATGTATTATATATTCCTTCTTTTTCCCTCACACATTGTCATCTAAAGGAGTAAATACAGGGGGATGTCTACTACAGCTCATAAAAATCTTATTTTGGAGAGACAGCTTCAGTCCGAAAGGCCTTCCTTCAAATCGCTAGTGTTTTTATCTCTAGTGTTACGCAAATGCGAGACCGAGGTGATTTTTGGTCTTGCCATTTCAGTCTTGGTCTTCCGCAAATGTCTCGTGTCAGTCTTGCAGTTACCTATAACAATGTGCAAGACCAAGACCGATTTTGAGCAACACTATTTATCTCCTGGTTCCGCTTCAATATTTTTTTTTCTCATTTTTAACCTCATTACTTGTCTTTTAAAAAATATAATATATAACTATAAAAATATATATAATATGTATATTATATATATATAGGCAACTCTTCTTCGTTTCAGCATTTATTAATTAGTTTTATGAAGAGATAACCGAACACATGTCGAAATATTACCTTGGTTTTTTTTTATCTTCACCTTTCAGTTTCGTTTAATAGCTTAATGTCTAGGACCCCAAATACTGTTAATTGCTTCAGAGATTAGTTTATTAGTACGTCACTCTACAAAGAGATAGCATACGCCATGAGGATTTGATGTGCCAATAAGAAAATTAATGTAACTACATTTCTAAATATTGATGCGGAGTACAAATAATTACAGTTGTTTAAAATACTTGTTAACAAATAATTTATTCATATCATATTATGATTTTCTTGGATGCATTTTTAGTAACACATCAGTTCTATTATAATTTTCACGAAAAATCCGAAACCATTAAGACCGCATTTTTATTCAATAAACATATGTCAAAATAATATATAATAATATTATATACCGAAATATTTAATTTTTTCTTAAGTTATTTGTATGTAGTATTAAGTAATATTTGAATCATATTTCATCAAATATGTCTCGGATTCAGTTTCTTTTGTTAATAAAATAAAATAAATTATTCTCTTAGATTAATTAATTATACTTTTAGATTTTTTTTTGATTCAAACAAGTTACGGAAGCTCCTTTCAGGGTGGCACTCGGGGCATTTGCCAGGCTCTGGGGTCGGCATATACATAAGAAGAGAGAGAGAGACAGAGAGAATAGATTAGAAAAAAAAAACGTTATTGTGGGATGTAATTTCTTAAGAATGATAAAGTTGTACAGAAAAAAAGAATTAATTCTGATCAGAAGATCAGTAGATAAATAAAAAAACAGGAAGTAAACTAACAATCTATACAGTAAAAAACGAAACAAAATTATATCTACTTGGAAATGTAGATAAAAGGAGAACCAAAATAAATTGAAGTCCTCTAGTAGACTCAATTAAAAAAATACTTAGGTGTGCGTTTTAGACCACACGATAGAAGTGAAATCATCAACAAGACAAGATTAATAATATGAAGTATGGCTCCATATACCGTACAGCAATAGTCCAATTGGGGAAATATTAAGGAGGTGACCAGGAGTCTACGGATTTTAAAAGGAAAAAGGTGTCGCAGGCTATTTAAGTGTTTTAGGTCACATTTACTTAGTTTTTTTGTCTCTTGAAAATTTTTAGTTTATTAGATAATGTTAACATAAGAACAATTTTTAGTTTTTTAATTGTATAACATATTTTTATATGTTAATATGGTACATATACATGAAATAAAGACCATGAAGATTAATAGATTCTAGATTAGTAAAAATTAAATCATATATGAACCAAAAATAATAAAAATATAAACAGATATTCTCATGAAAAGTTCGGAATTCTTGTGATGTACGTAACGAAAAACGAACGATCATGTTATGAAAAGTAATATGAAATATATTTACAAGATCATAAATAATATATATTTACCCAATAACATTTGTATATACTACTCTACAACAGAGTAGCTTAATGTCTTTTCTAATGGACGGTGCTGAGGCTGTCGGTGTGTACCCGGCCTCAGGCATCAAGGCACTGTTTTAAAACATTGAAAAGGATCCCATTGTTAGGATAATAAAAAAACGGGATCGAAACGTCGAACAAACAACAGGGTCAATGAACATTTTGTAGTTTATTGAGTAGTAATTAAGTGATCTAATTCCCAATTTAAATAATTATGTTTATATATATATATATATATATATATATATATATTGGCTAACTGAGTAAATGCCCAGTTGCTCCGGATTTAATTTCACTATTTTTTTTTTCAATAACTTATCACTGTGGGTACTATTTTGTTTCTATTTATTTTATATTTTTTGTACATATAGTGTGAATGGTATCCTACCACTCTATAACCAATGTCCAAGAGACAGATTGTTGTGATACTCAATAAATAAATAAAAAAAATAAAAATTACTGTGGAAAACAAAGGAGAAAAGCTACCTGCATGAAGTTACGTGTAAGTGGTCTTTAAAGAACTGGTTATTAACAAATAAAAAATTCTATTACAGTAACAATGATTTTTTAGATATACCGTTAGATGGGGTAACTTTAGGGCTGGATGGGTAAAATTTAGTTTGAGTTGATTCCGTGGTGGGTAGAGTGTGTTAGTTCAGTCTACAAAAACATGCTTTGTATTGACATGTACTGTGCTACTACCTCGCGACAGCTTGAGAACTCTTCAAGTCAAAATTCTTGTTTTCATGAAACTTTTGCTTGTGACTCAAACAGCAGTATGCCACAAGGTAGTAGCGTAGTACATGCTGGCAGAATCAACACAGTATATCCACCACAAACCACTCGCGGATCCAGGATTTAATTTTGGGGAGGCTTCAGCCAGAAAGCTTTTTTTTTCCATAAAAATCACGATAATTACTTTGAAAAAAAATACAGAAACTAACTACCTATATGAAATGGTGTTTAAGTGATTCCTTAAGTCCTTTTAAATGTAATTACACGAACAATAATACTTTAAGAGGTATTTTTTAATTTTGTTTCCCATAAAACATGTTTATATTTTACCATTTGGGGGAAGGGTATGGTATGAATTTAATACATTAATACAAATAAGTGTTGTTTTATATATGTTTAAATAATTAGCCTTCATGATCAGTAACCATCGCGTTGACCTGGATGGTGATTGAAAACATCAGCCAATCACTTCGAAGCAGCGTCAATCGCTTGAATAAGGAATAATAAATGAGAATGAGGAGAAAACATCTTTTAGAAAACCTGATCGTGCCTTGAAAAGAGAGGGAGAGGAAAACCAAGTAAGCAAAACGGATTGCCATTTGATGTTCTAGGATTAAATGTAGATTATGAATATATTAAAATATTATAATCGTTTTTATAAGTTTAATTAAGGCACTAGCAAATCCACGATTTAATTTTTTTTTGGGGGGAGAGAGAGGAGAGCTTCAGCCCGAATTTTTTTTTTCATATATATAACAATAATTAATTAGAAAAAAAAGAAAGAAATTAACTACCTATATGAAATGGTGTTTAAGTGGTTCTTGAAGTCCTATTAAATGTAATTACGCGAACAAGAATACTTTAAGAGATAGTTTTTAATATTTTTTTCTGTAAAACATGGTTATATTTTGGGGAGGGCTTCAGCCCGAAAGCCCCTTCCCCCCGCAGATTTGCCTGTGAAGTAAGGTATCATTCATTAATAAATAAAGTCTACAGTAAAGATTCCAGTTTACAACCGGATATATCATCTTAGTACGGCACAAGAAGTTGGAAAACGAAGCAACAATAACTTATCGTCACACGTTTCCTCTTCACTTGTTCTATCATTATTGTCAATCATTTGGGCGATTATAATTGACACGATCATGACAAGTGAATGCGTACGGGTTAGCAGCGATAGCAGACATATTATAAATACTTGAACCACCAAATCTGGCTCCTGTTCCCTCTCGTAGCCAGCAAAGGGATGATTCCAGTCTGCCAACTGCTACTGATCCTGTATGTTGGCTTCGTTGGAGCTGGTGAGCAGCAAAAACATTTACTAGACCATGTTAAAATTTAAGCTATATAATAAGTCAAAGGCAATGAATTTTTAAGTTTCAGTTTAACTGCCCATATATAAAAATATCTATGTAAAACTCGAGACCAGTGCTTAAGACAGCCGTAAAAAACGCCACAATAACTGTCCAGATTTTTTATGGTATTACTATACAAGTATCAGTTCAGTTAGACGGATGGGCCAAGATCTCATGGTCACTCACTCGGGATTCCGAGAAAAGCTGAAGATTGTAAATCTCTTGGACAGCAGAAGGACCAATGATATGGGATTTATTTGAATAAGTTTATTTATTATAGATTTATTTGAAGTTGAAATAAAATTCTGAAAAGTTAGAAAACAGAAAAAGACTGAAGATTGATGTATTCGCTGTTTAATCTTCTTTTATTTAGATTGCGATTTACGATTTCGACAAATTCCCTACTGGTACTTTTCAGTTAATTCGGAGCGTTCATTAGCTTTAATTATATTGCGGCTTTAGACTTACTTAAGAAATAAAAAAAAAAAAAACCAACGTGTCCTTTTCATTTAGGTCTGTCCTTACCCATTAGCAGATCCAGGATTTAATTTTGGGGGGAGGGGCTTCAGCCCGAACCTTTTTTTTTTTCATACATATAGCGATAATTAATTTGAAAAAAAAAAGATAGAAACTAGCTACCTATACGACATGGTGTTTAAATAATTCTTGAAATCTTATTAAGTGTAATTACTGTGAGATATAGTTTTTAATATTTTTTTCTGTAAAACATGGTTATATTTTACCATTTTTGGGGGGAGCTTCAGCCCGAAAGCCCTCCCCTCTCCTGTAGAACCGCCTGTGTCCTTACCTGACAGTTAGGTCACACTTGCCCGTTTTTCCGATTCCATTTATAATGTGATAATGAATTCTTGTATCACTCATCAAAAAGGGAGCGACATTTGTATTGTAGTATCTACAGATCTAATGAATATTTTCTTTCTCTTAATAGACTCGGAATCTCCCAGCAATGTTTCATCACTGAGCTACAACTACACTACATCCAATGATTCCCAAACCATCGTCGGTGCTCAAGCCATCCTCAATGGATTTAGATTCTGTGTTAGAAGATGTGATGGCCGACCAAGGACCTGTTACTTCAAGCTTAATGTCCAGCTATATTCAGTGCTTGGAGGGTGAATATTAATTATAAATTCTTTTTTGATAGTTGGCTAACTCTATCAATTTAATCAATAGATCTTTGATGGTGGTTCAAGTACCATTATTTCTATAGAACATGAAGTAAAACTTAATTCATACGTATTTTACTTTAAACAAGAAATGATGCTTTGAACAGCTAGAATGACTAGCATGACTCCCTCTAATTTCTATAACATTTATTTTTACTTTTATTTAGTTTTAAATACCGGTTTAAAATATAAGAAGAAATAAATAAATAAAAAAGAACTAGAGAATAAATAAACAAAAATTATATTATATAAAATGTTTTATAAAGGTGATTTGCTATTCTTAAAATTGTATACACTTATATGAATATTCAGATTAAATTTCATAAGAATGACTTTTAAATGATAAATAATTCAACATTTTAATAAGCACTAATTTCAGTGCTTGCCGGAATTGTGCATTTGGCACTCCTTCAGACTGCATGAGGCCACAATGTATAACTGCAAATGGATGGTACAGAGGTTTGATTACTGTGAACAGGCAACTACCTGCACCGCCTATACAGGTAAATTATTCTAATTGTTCCTGAATATATATATATATATATATATATATATATATATATATATATATATATATCATTTGAAAAAGAACATAAATTCTCTCAATTATCTACTGAAGGAATCATTAGAGTATTAATTTTTAGATCCGATAATGAATTTTTCCATCTTGTCAGTTGGCCAAAATCAGAATAATTATAAAATTTTCATGAAAAAAAGTTAGTGCCATTATGAGACAGTAAGCATAGGACTACAAATAATTTGAAAAACAAATTTACCTTGAAGCCATGTTGGCCAAGATTGTTAAGATGTCACCTTAGTGACTTTAAGTCAAGCTATACCAGTTGAATCCTGTCTGGGACACATTCAGGATGAATCTCAACCTTTCCACTCAGGCTAGAATAATTTGGTAACCTGTAGGATAACCTACCCTTCCTGCATTAGTTGCAGTGTATAATGATGCTAACCCCAAATAAGCTTTAAATATGTGTATAAAAATAATATTGAAAGTAAAATAAAAGAATATCTCAGTTCTCTAGAAATACAGGATCGTGATATCAAAGAACTCAATACTAGAGCAATAGGAGATGAAATGGTTTGCTAGAGTATAATTAAAATACTATTATGACAATCAAAAAATTTTATTATAGTATAAGATGTGAATTACTTATCACCAAATGAAAATTAAAATTGACTACTAACACTAGAGTAATGTGAAAATAACAAGGATGATGATATTTTACAATAATACTGTCTAAAGCCCACCTTACACGATCAATATTATTGAGTCAATATAGAATATATTGACCGTCTATGGGATATATTGTAACAATTATATTGACATTTGTACTATGTATACAACGTTCAGGAATATTGCTTTCAATAATATTGACCGTGTAAGGTGGGCTTAAGTTTCCAATAATTATAAATCCTATATCATCATTACCCTGGTAATTGGAGAGGATTAAGTTTAATTAATTACAAATAGGAATCACTTATAAAAAATAGTTGTCTGGATTAATACTTTTAATTTTTTAAATTTTAATTGAAGAAGACTTATTTAGGTTTCTAAAGTAGCCCAGTCATATTAGACATGTTACTTTGAAAAAGGTTGGGTAATTTAAATTTCGTTTTTATATTGTTAGGTGTGCAGTGAATGTAAAAAATCCAAGTTTCTACCCATGAATGACTTGTGGGTTCACTGCAGTGCTAAAAAAAACCATTGAAATTTCTTTGAAATTCATTGAATTTTTTTTTGGTTTATGCTAAATATCTTCTGTTTAGAGATACATATATAAAAATGGTTACATTCAATCTTAAACAGCTTAAAATTATCTGACATTTTTACATAATATTTTTTTCTAAACCCAACAGCAAGCGAACCATTGAGCTTTAAAAATTTATCCATTTCAATTTCTTCACAATAGTGCTCTTTCAGTTTTGAATGGAAGAATTATGTAACTTCATTTTGACCTTGTTCAGAGAATTTGGAGGTATTTCTTGAAGATTAATGAAGACTGGAACGGTAGACAGTAGTCGGGAGGTATTTTGAAAAGTATGTTACACGGTGGGCCAGACTCCTTTACTGTTGACCTCGAACATCCCATTAAATTGCATATAGTTGTGCTTTGTGATTATTTATTAAATAAAAACCAATTTTCTACAAAAAAAAAGTGGATGCACTGTCCCAAAATGGCGTTTAAACATAGCAGATATTGATGTCTTAGAGTTAACTTAGTTTTTCGGTCACTAAGTTCCAGAATTTGGCTTAATTTTGTTAAAATTGGCCTTATATTAAAGCTGGATAGTTAGAAAATAGTAAAACATGAACAAATATTAAAAAATAATTGGCCTGGGCAATAAAAATACCAGTAAAGTCAAGGTGTTTAAACTATAGTTAAAAATCAAGCGCCTTTTGTAAATAAACGGCCAACAATAATGAAAAACACTCAGAAATAAAACATCTGAAGAATACATTTCTCTTTCTAAAACACTGATTACTTTTTAAAATATTTGAAGCAGTTACTTAGAAAATACACTTGATCGACAGAAAAATGGCACTGGTATAGGTGTCTAGAGTACTCTGCCAAATCATTAAGTACTCATAAATGTTTAAGTTATAGTATGTTATTATGATTGTATTAATATTTGATTTATTAATGAACAAATATTAATACAATAATTTAATTGTCATTTTTTTTTCAAAACTTTACTCATTTTGAAAGCACGATAGTTCGCTTACTGTTGGGTTTATAAAAAAATGTTATGTATAAAAATGTTAGATAATTTTAAGCTGTTTAAGATCGGATATAACCAATTTTCATCTATGTCACTTTAAAAAGGAGATATTTAGCATAAATGAAAAAAGTTCTAAATTTCATTGGTTTTTGTAGCACTGCAGAGAACCCACTAGGCTTTTGAGAGTGGAAACTTGGATTTTTTAAAGTCACTGTATACCTAACAATATAAAAAAGGAATTTCAATTACCCCACCTTTCCAAGCTAGACCCCTTTATTTTCCCTAATTTGATTGGAATAAAATGTGATCAGGGAATGCAGATATAAAAAATAATGATACAACATTTACTCTTTTCATTCTTTTTATTAAAACAGTATTAAAATCTTGGTTTTAAACCTCTAAATATTTGTTTATCTTTTATTTAAATTTATAATTAATAATTTATTTTAGGTTTGCAGAGGTGACAGGATAATTGCAGATGTTGAAAATGCAATGCCAGATGCTACAGTTACCATTCATTGGCATGGTATAAGACAAAAGGGTTACCAGTATTATGATGGTGTCCCATATGTGACTCAGTGTCCTATACAACCAGGCACTACATTTAGGTATAATTTTGTAGTAGACGAAGCAGGAACATTTTTTTACCATTCTCACACAGGTTCGTATACAACCTTTGACATCTATTATTTGTTTTAAATATTGATAAAAAATTCCATTACTAAAAATTTTATCACTCAGGTCTACAGAAAATGGATGGTGTTTCTGGAGCACTTATTGTCAGAGATGTCTATGACAGTCAGTCACATTTTTATGATGATGATCGGCCTGATCATGTGATGTTCATTAGTGACTGGACAAATAGACCAGCAGTAGAATACCTACCAGGATTCAATCATCCTGATATCAGCCAAATTCCAGACACGTTCTTGATAAATGGAAAAGGAATGCACTGGGTTAGTATGACAAAAAATGTTTGTGATTCATAATACATAAAAAAAAATATATTAAAATAATAAAAGAGGTGGCTGTTCTTGTTGAAGAAGCATTTAAGCAAGCATCTCTAATCTAAATGTAGTACAGGTTCAAATTCTTGCAAAACTTAAAATTTATTTTATTTCATTTTAATGAAGTCAACATTTTCACTTTGTATACAATAAGTGGTAGCCTTGATTCATCCAGAGTTTTAGTGCCATGAATGTTGATGATATATACTTAACTTAAGATTCCTATAAAATTGAAGGCTCAAAAAACATTTGACTTAATATTTACATAATACTTATTTATATCTTCTTTCTAGGAATTAAGAATATTGAAACTAGATTATAATGTTTCTTTAGGCTAACAACAGAAGCATTGACTTACCTCTAGCTGAATTTATGGTTAGTCGTGGCCAACGATACAGATTTCGTTTGATTGGTGGTACATGTATGTCTTGTGCAGTAGCCATAAGATTCCAAGGTCATAGAGTCTTAGCAATCACTGCAGACGGAAACTTAAAATTTGTTCCGAGACTTGTAGACACAGTCATTCTCAACTCAGGTAAATATTTTCAACAAAATAAATAATTAGCTTTGGATTGTCCTTATCTTAAATAAACATTTATTTATTTTTTATGAGCACAAATTGCCATTTATCTCTTGTTGTATTGGATTATTTACTATAAACAAATCACAAAAAAATGAATTATTAGTTATTAGAATTAAATTAGCATTTAACCAATTGGGCAAATGTCACCAGTATAGAATGTCATCAGTATTATGCATGATTTTAATAATTCCTGATGAATAGAGGAAATGTAATAAATATTTAATGTTTATTTTTCTAGTAATTATATACTCGCTATGATTGGAAGTAATTTATAATGCAATGTTGTATGGGTAATAATTATTAAAACATCTTGAATAGATTATCCAGAAATATTTCATGGTTTATATTATATTTCCTTATTTTCATATTATATTTCCTTTATTTGTATATTATATTTCTATTTGATACTTCTTCAAAGTATAAATGTCATACTTAATGTTATGCATTCGTGGAATATTAAATCAAAAACAGTCGAGATTCAATATTACATCAATTGACGCCACAAACCAACAGAGCCAAGGCAAGCAAGCCCAAGTTGCTCTTTGGTTTGACCCAGTGTTGACGTTATTATTGTTACATTTATTTATACTTTAACAAGCTTTATCTTTTTTTTTTTCTGTTGGCATTACATACCATGTTGATCTTTTGTCGCCTTAAAAGCCTGCTCCATCTCTTCCTATCTTGGACTATTTCTTTCGGGAACATCTTGAGGTCCCATTGAAAAATCTGACAAAGCATTGTTCTCTCCAGTGTGTCGCCAAGACCCACTGAGAGACCTCCGGACACCACACAGCTGTAGTCAAAGTGGGGAAAGATGAGGGTAAGATTGGGAAGAAGATGGCAGAAGCGATGTAATAATTTGAAATTGGAAATTGATCATTGAGCAATGTGGAAAATATGGTAATTCCTGGAAAGGGTTAGATCAATGAAAATTTACTCCTCAATGAAAAGTTTTTCACAGAGGAGTAAATGGTAATGGGTTACTCATTTAGATATAGTGTGGGAAAAGTTAGAATTGAATTGAAGAAAGGGCTTGGAACCAATGAAAATGGCCTGAGTTTTTGCAGATTTTGCAACATTTAACCTTGTCCAGACATTGATTCGATCTAGGTCATCTTGAATTTTGGAAAATGCTGCAGTTATCTCAGAAGGAGACAATGATAAATAGATTTGGGAATCGATGTCAGAAAGGTGATGGGAACAGCTAAAGATTGATTATATAGACACTAAAAAGAAACTGTGGGCAGGGTGGCCGAATGGGCTAACGCGTGTGCACTGCACCGCCGTTGCCCGGCAACCTGATACATAAGACTTTGATAAAAAAAAATAGTCACGAGTTCGCGTCCCGGTGCCCGGAGGAGTTTTTAAATCCCCGCCCACACTCCCTGGCTCGGGAAAATCCCCTTATAGCCTTAAAGGCGAGGTAGAGGAGGACAAAAAAAAAGAAAGAAAAAAAGACACTAAAAACAAGAGAAGATATGCTAGAATCCTGGGGAACTCCTGAAGACAGATAAATATAGGAAAAAAGCAGTTTACTAGAAATGGAAACTGCCTAGGAATGTTGAAATAGGAAAGATAGAAACCATGAGATGGAACTGTTGGAAAAGGATATTGATTTTAATTTTGAAAGGAGAATTAAATGGTCGATGGTGTCAAAGGCTTTGTAGAAGTCTAGGAGGACAAGGATAGATAATTATTTTTGTCAGTATCAGACATCACTGATAATTTTAATTAGGGCTGATTGTGTGGAGTAACCATGGCGGAAACCAGATTGGAGAAGATCGAGTTGGTTGGATTGGATTCTTCAAGAAAGTTGGAGACTTGGGATTGCATTAGATTGGACGGAAATCTTCAGGAAAGGATGTATTAGAATTTTTATTTAAAGGAAGGAAAAAGGCTTTTTTCCCGAGAGGTAGGGAATACTGAGTTCTGTAGGGAGAAATTGTAGATGAAAAGGAAAACTGGAAGGATTTCAGAGAGATGTAATTTCATTAATTTTGCAGGAATGCCATCTGGACCTGTGGAATTGATGTGGGCTTTCATTATAGCAGATTTAATGATGTCCCAGGAGAGTTTGAGGTAGCAGACATAAAATGTGTTGAAATCATCAGGTGATACTTGAAAGGCTAATCAGGTTGGGGATTTAAGAGGTTTACGAAGGGAAAGTTTGTGAAGGATTGACCATTTAATTTTGATATCAGGAACTAATGCGATGACTTCATGTAATTAAGAGGATTTCACTTGTTGGATCATTGATTCTGTCAAGCTGCGGAGCACCCTAGATGCTTGGAAGTCATCTGCAAGACTAGTGCGTCTAGCGCGTCTACGGGCAGCATCGCGTCTCTTCTGAGTAGTATTGATAGGTTTAGTTAGATATTGGTCATTATCTTGTAGGTAACCGGAAGGAGTGCTATGCCTCTGTAATTAGTACACTCATACATGGAGCCTTTCTTTAGGATAGGATCGATTAAGCCCATATTCCAAGGCTCAGGTAACCTTTCTTCTTCCCATACTTTCTGGATTAGTTGTAGTAGTAGTAGTTGTAGTTGTAGTAGCTTGGCTCTTAAGTCGTCTCCCCATCTTTACATTAGATACAGCTATAACCCCAGCATCTTTATATCAGATATAATAATTATTTATGTTTGCATCTATCTTTACGTATATCCAACTCCCATTTAAATATTTTTTAAAATGACCATTTTAGAAACTTTTTAAGATAGGCAAAATTCGAAACAATCCCGGCCCAATTCGAGACGAATATTGGAACCCAGGAACGTGACCGCAGCCAACGTGTTAAATAGTTCTGATGGTAGGTTGTCTATTTCTACATCCGGTATATCTGGTTTTTCAACATTTATACAAATAATAAAGCGGTTTTTACCAACGCTTAATTTTTAATTAGTGTAACAATCTATATTTTTAGCTGACCGATTCGATGTGATCCTTGAAGCAAATCAATATATTGGTACTTATTTTATTTTTGCTGAAAGTATTCAGGAACGCTGCAATGGTGTACGCCAAGTAGCTCTTCTGAAGTATCAAGGTTCTAATGCTTACGTGAGACTACCACCTCCTACTCCATCTAGGAACCTGGGTATAGTAAGTATTAATTAAATTTGCTTATTGGAATTTAAAAATGTCAAAGAAATATATATTATCCTTGATTTACCCATTGTACTTGGCATAAAATTCTACCTTAATAGGAATTTAATGCTGTTGAATCACGCTGTGATGGTTCAAACAGTAATAAGATCTGTATTGGACACTTACAAGGTCTAACGGATGCACCAGCTATTGGAAATCAGTACTATGCATTTCTATTTATAGGATTTGATTTTTACATGTTTGATGATGAAGACTTATATTCTCCAGGCACATATCAACATTATGATGGTAAAAACTTTTATCACTATTTGAATACCTACATTAATGAGGCAAAAATTAATTTAAAGTCAATCAACTGAAGTTTTAAACAAAAAATAAAAAAAAATAATTTTTTTATTTAGTAAAATTATTTCTGTGTATTCTGTTAGCTATTTACTCTATCATTGAAACACACTCCTTGATCTATCAATTTCAGCCTCTAAATTTCCAGGCCTGAGGAAATGCTGAATTGTTTGTATTGCTGAGTTTGCTTTTGTTTTATTTTGTTCTTTTTGACACTGATCATTGTCATTTATAGACCATAGATTTCATTTCAATGATTGACATTCAAATTAATCTAAAAGTTTATGTTTGTCCAGCTTATGTGACCTCTCGTTTTTATGGTACAGTTCAAACTTAGCGGTACAAAAATTAAAAATGCATTATTCAGAAAGATGTTTGAGTAATACCCTTTAGATAAGTAGAACAATTAATTAATTATTTAATTGCAAAAAATCTAGTCTTGACTTACTATATATTATTTCGTAAATTTAGTTTATTTTTATGCATTTATTATTTATTGCATGTTCTTTTTCAGAACCGTTTATGGGAAGAAGGGTTAAAGCGTTGGTAAACAACATTTCCTTCACGTTTCCACCAAGTAATATGCTGACTCAGTTCAATGAAATACCAAGACAAAATTTATGCAACTCTCAATGTTATTCCTCAAACATTCAGAAGTCTTGCAGCTGTACTAATTTCTATAATCTACCATTTAACACTGTTGTAAATGTGATTATTTATGATAATGGTAAATTTATAGTATTTTAATTCCTACATTATTTTAACTTTAGTAGAGAAGTATAAATAAAATGATCGGATCTAGTACTCACAATTTCAATGGAAAATATTTTATCTTATTATCGAGTTTACTTATTATCTTCGCTAATTCTATTTGCTCTTTTCTTATCAAGGCAGGTGATTTTCGAGATAATGTTGCTATAATAGTTTGAGCCTGCTCTATGTTTTGGTCGTGCTCATCCACTGTAGCATGGATAGGTGGCCGAGATAATATATTGGCTATGACATTGACTTTACCAGGAGTATATTTGATTTCAAGATCAAAGTCTTGCAAGTGAAGAGCCCACCTTGCAAGCCTTCCTGAAGGACATTTTAGGAGTTGGTGATCCGATCCAATTGATACTTTTGATCTTTAAATGTAATCTCTGAATTTTTCAGTAGCCCAGACAACTGCTAGAGCTTCACGTTTAGTAACATTATAGTTCTTTTCAGCAGTAGTGAGCAAGCGGCTAGCATATTCGATAGGGTGTTCTTCACCATCATGTGACTGGAGAAGTATGGCACTGAGTGCGTAATCGCTGGTGTCCGTCCTTAAGGTAAATGGTTTGTCCTCATCTATTTGTTTAAGGATGGGCACAGATGTCAATAGATTTTTCAATTGGTTAAATTTTTCTGCTCTATTTTTCATTGCCAAGGAGCAGCTTTTTTTGTTAATCTTGTCAGTGGTTCGGCTATTGCTGCGAAGTTCCTTATAAATTTTCTAAGGTTGACATGTATTTTAATACTTTTGCTGAATGCAGGATGTCATTAATGAGAGGCATTGGGTATCTATTGGGGGTAGTTATGGCATTGAGTTTGCGGTAATTAATGCATACCCTAACCCTACCATTAGGTTTAGGAACCAGAATGATGGGCAGCGCATTCTTCGATAATATTGTTTGATAACATATTATCAATTTCTGTGCTAAGAATAACTTTTTTTGCACGACTCATTTTGTAGGGAGGCACCGCCGGAGGAGTATGACCTTCCTCAAGTTGTAATGAGTGCTCGATAAAAGGTGTTGGGTCTTCCCCTTCTCCGAAGATGTTTATACTTGTTTAGAGTATTTGAAAGAAGGTTTCTTTGGATGTGAACAAGCAATCTAGGAAACTTCCTTTCAGGCGACTCACTTCATTAATGCTTTTAATAGCTCCATAAGAGGTTGCCATAGTAGATGAAAGTATCTCTTTGAGGTTGTTTTAGGTGAGATGGTACGATTTCTGAGACTGTGTGTTTTTAGGTGCCATATTGACTATCGTTTGTACTTCTTTCCTTAGTTAAACACCAAGTAATAGGCAGGGTTCTAAAAGAAGTATTTTTGTGAAATAAACTGAAGAAGCAATCACAATATATTTTAATATCTTTTCAATTAACTATTTTCCTTATGTCATTATTATTACAACTGCTGCATTGTTACAAATAGAATTATCATTTTATAAATCGGATAGTTTTTAAATTGATTGTACTGGTTTAAAGTTCTTCTATCCATTCATAGTTTGTTAATATTATACTATGACATTGATGCAATAAAACACGTTTTTCAGAAAATTTAGCATAATAAAACATTTTTCCAAAATTTTACATTTGCGTCATTGTTCCACTGGAGGAGCGATATTTTCTTGAACATTAGCATATGAACAATAACAATGGATTAAAATAAACATTTTGTTATTTTGGGGGGTCATTCTAACAGAAAGTGACAATTTTGAATCAGATTTTTCAAAATAATTGAACAGGCTCCAAACTGTCTGAAAAATGAATTATACCTAGCTAACCATTAAAAATTAAAATCCATGCTACCCCAAACAAGAGAGGTATTTATTTTGGAGATAAAAAATAAAATTATAAAAGAAAAGATAAAACATCTATATCCTAGCCAATTATGAAGATAGCAAAAAAAACATAGTGTAATCTTCCTATAGCCTAAAAAACACAATTATAAATAAATAAAATTGGAAATAATAATTCATAGTGTAATGACAAAAATCCTATTTTACTCTCCAAGTTACTAAAAAGGTTTAAAATTAAATAAAAATTCAACGGAACAAGAATGGATGGGGATGATGAGAAAATTAGTATTTCTTTACTTATTCCAATTCTCTACACATTATATAGAAATCAAAACCATACTGGATATCAAATTATTGCTTAATATTAGAGTGCCTGTGTCCTTATTTGTTTGAAGTGTTAATAATTAGTTTACAAATATATTTGCATCATGGGGATAAGTACCATAATTTGCAATATCAACTACGTTCAAAGTGTATAATTAATTTTCTTTTCTTTATGGATGTAATTTTGTTTATTTCTGAAAATGTATACTCAGTAGCAGTGTTGACACTTGCAAGATAGTAATATGAATTGCCTGATGCAGAACAATATTTTATACACCTCGAACCAGTACTGTCCCACCTAATGTGAAAATGTAAACTTTAGGGATAAAAAAATTATTAATAATCACTGTAATGCTTTGCATCAAGTAAAATGTAAGATAAATGTTTTTATGTGGAAAGGAAGCATTCATAATGAGTCAAAATTTACTTTATATTTATTTATAACGAAAAAACGTATATATTGTATTTTGTCTAATCAGATTAAATGTTGATTGGTACTTACAATGGGCTTAATGTTGCTTAATAGGCTAATTTTAAGACTTATTTTAACTGATTTAATTAGGAAAACCTCTTATATTATTGGGAACATCCACACAAATGAATATTTTTTTAAAATAAATTTTTTTTTTCTTATTATACTTACTTATTATTTTAATTTTTTTATACATATTGTTCCCCCAATAATAATTGACTAATTTTGAAGTTGGGGAGATAATTTTAAGCTGAACTTAAGTATAAAATAGAAAATTTAATTTCTTTCTTGAACAAAACAAACCTTGATTTTATGTTTATAATAAAAGGGTTGTAATGATCTCTTACCCTAATCTTTCATTTATTTTTATTTTTAGGTGATCGTGTTGGAATACCTCACCCCTATCACCTTCACGGTTTCAACTTCCATGTTCTAGAACAAGGTGTTTTCCCTTCAACTGATCCACAAAATAAGCAGTTGATGCTCAACCGAATGATGCACCAGCTAAATAATGATAATGTCAATCTAAGGTCTAGACCACAAAGAGATACAATCAGTGTTCCTCCTTTGGGCTACGTTCTCACCCGATTTTATACTGACAATCCAGGTACATAGTGGTTACTCATTTTTTACTCCTTCACTTCAACTTTCATTGTTTATGTATTCTATTTTTGTTATAAAAATGACTTTTATGTGTTCTAAACTCAATTATTTTTTTATTTTATTATAAAACTTAGGTACCAAATATAAATGAAAAATTATAATGTTCAACTTTCAGTGGATGATTTTTCTATTGAGTAGAAATATAGTACTACAAAACAAAAGAAATAAAAGCTTATTAGTTTTATGTTTGTATGTTCTAATGTCATTAAGTTTCAATAAAAATCACTTATAACAAATTTTACTTTAACAAAAATCAAATAAATTAGTTACAACAAAAAAATAACAAAGTTTTTTTGTAAATAATGCTCAATTGTCATAAAGAATGAAACAAACTTGGGAACAGTTAAGAAAAAATATATCTAATAAATAAAAAAATACTAAATCAATCCATTCACTTCAACAAACAGTATTCCTTGTACAGTGTCAGGTCTAAATTTATGCTCACAAAGAAAGATTGTCTGCAAATTATTTAATAAATAAAAATTAAAATATTATACTTGTAGGCATTTCACTACTAAATTTGAACTAAGTGTTGAATATGTTCTTTCTAACAAATAAAATAAAAATCACCCCTACTTATAAGTTTTAAAATATTTATTTATCACCAAATATCAGTTTCTATAGGAGTTAAAAATTTGTTGCTATATTTTAAAAATTTGAAACCACTTAATCCGAGATGTTTAAAAAATAAAACTCTTTAAGTAACAATTTGTATTCAATCATTTTTAAAAAAATGCTATTAAGTAATCTGTTTAAATAAAAATGCTGCTGCGAAATTTAATATGAATTAAAATAAAAGAATAGAGGAAGAAGATGGCCTGGGTTCTTCCTCTTTAATACAATGGTCAACTATTAAGTATTCGATAAAAAAAATAGAATATATAATAATGATTTCGGACATAGCATAAAATTTTTGTTAAAAAACATAAATTACATAATCTGTCAGTTCTAGTGACGTTTTAAACATTTTTTTTTTTTTTTGTCAAATGAAGGATAATTTCTCATTACATTTGGAATGTAAAGAATTAATAAACAAATATTAATAAACTAGAAAATATTAAATGTGATTGCCTTAAATGTCTGTTGTAATTCTTTTATAGGTTACTGGCTGTTGCATTGCCATTTTGCTTATCATTTGGAGGCAGGAATGGCTGCTGTTTTCAGAGTTGGAGACCAATCACTTCTACCACCTGTTCCTGAAAACTTTCCTCGCTGTGGAAATTTCTTACCTCCACCTTAGCCCCACGTCTTTATAATAAATTATTTCATTACCTCTATTTCCAATTATAATATTCAATTTGTTGTTAATTTTTTCAAATTTTTGTGTTTTATTGATTGTCTTTATAATACTTTATATAAAAATAAACTGATGAACAAAACAAATTACTTTGTTTATCATACAATTACCCTATATCTATATTTTTTAAAGGTGTATTTAAAAGTTATAACAATAAATATAGGTAGTAAGTACTTATTATTCAATCAGACTATGAATAATCCCTGTTTTATCTTTTATCTGAGTAATGAAAGTTGCATTTGTTTTTAACACACTATAATGTCACAGTTAGCATAAGAATTCTTCATAATGCTTCTTAATTTGGTCTTTTGACTTCTTAATGCAGACATAACGGATTACTATTTGGAATCCAAATAGTTCAAAATTATTCAAAATTATTTGGAATGATAGCAAGTCCAATGCCATCCACCACTTAGTCAGCCCCAATCCATCTTACAAATTCATTCTGATTCTCAAGCCTTCTTAGTTTAGTAATAGCTAAAATTCTACAAGTGGAGACATAAATTGATTTAGGAAGAAATACTTATATATTTAAATTTTCAGTAACTAAATATCTTTTATAAATACATTTCATTAGTTTAGAAAATATATTATAGTGTTTGTTGTATCTTCAGAACAATTCTTGGTAATTCTTATTGTCACATTCTACATAATAAATGTGACAATAAATACTATAATAACTACTCAATATTTTGTTTTCATTTCAAGCCTATATTTTAAGTCAAGCAAACCTAAATGTAATGTCAAAATTTCAAAAGTCTACCATTAACCATTGCCGAGCTTATCCCAGACAAAATTTCGTAGGACAATGCGGATACCCAGACAAATAAAACAATGTTGTATAAGTGGATTTGGTGTCTGTAATGTATAAAACGGAAAGATATCATGAAACGTTTGATTCTGTTCAATATATAGATGAAACCTTTATTTTATTTATATTGATGTTCTTTAAACTATAAACATATGTTTATTATTAACATTTATTATCAACATTAACTGAGATCTCTAGTCAAATTACTAAATAATTTATAACTTTGGTTATACTCAATATATTGTTTTCATTTAAAGCCTATGTTTTAAGTCAGGCAAACCTTAACATAATGTTATAATTTCAAAAGTCTATTGCTATCTATCTAAGCCATTGCTGAGCTTGTATGTAGAACCAAACCTTTATTTTACTTACATAGATTGTAAATGTAGTTTAACGTTTTTTTATGTTTAATATGTTAAGGTATTTGGCAGAAATGTTTATTCCCTCTTAATTTTAAAAATTGTAAACATTAACCAAAAATAGGTAATAATTATAAGTTTTATTTGAGTAGATTTTATTAAATAAAATCGATCAGAAGTTAAATATACAAATTTATATTACTTGATTGTAGAAATGGATCTCGCAGATCTTGCACCATTCGTGTTACAGTAGGTGGCACCAATAGTAATTCATATTCGATGAACTGTAGTTCATAAACTATAGTTCTTCAAAAGTGAGACCGGTCCTTATTACAGTCCCTTCTCTTGAATTAGTTTGTTTGAACTAGTTTGTGTATGAGCTACACATTAATATTGGGCCAATAATCTGTAGGTTTATAAATAAATGGAAACAGCAATACACAAGTCGTGATATGTATTGGACAAACAATGAATATATATTGGATAACAAAATTTAAATTCATTGATGTTGTTATGAATGATTAATTTGATTTTTAAAAAATCAAACCTATTACATAAATTTTGTGTTATAAAAGTTTTATGTCATAAAATTTGACATAATGGGATGAATATTATGTTATTCTTACAGGTGTGACAATAAAAGTGTTATTTCTTCTTATAATTTAAACTTGAATTGACCAATTAAAATTAGTGAAGGGTTTTGACAAATAATTTTCCTGCTCTCCCATTGTGTAAATATTGTGTTTATTATGTGCTCTCTCTCATACAAGTGCCTTCTTATTACCCCTAGAATGACATACATAAAAAGGTCAACTCATTCTAACACTCTGGGGTGTGGTTCACTCCAAACTTTAAATTATCATAAAATTTAATTCTCATGCTCTGGAAGACTCAAATACTTTTCAGAAATAAGCTAAACAAGCAGGAAAAAAAAATAAATAAAATAAATTCAAGGTAACCTTAGAGAATATGTTTTATATTCTAACATAAAGTAAAAAGTTAACATTTACGTCGCTAAAAAATCAAAATTTTTCTATTGAAAATACATTAAGTTTATATTATTTTAAATATATATATTTGGAATGTAATATATACACATAATAAAGGAAAAAAATATTTTTTACTTAAAAAGATAATAAAACCTATAGTGGGGGAAATTTATGTGACCACTCACTTACAACAATCCAAGCAAACTGTTGCCCTGTGTTCATTGCAGATAGGTCTCTTACATCACTGATGAACCATTTTTTTCTTTATATCTTTCTCTCTCTTGCAAAACAGTAGTAGTTTATTTTTTAATCCCCAACTTTTTTCTTATGTTGTATCACCGTTTGTTTGTGTGTCTTCCTATATATATATATGCCATAGGAACGTAGAGCACAGACAGACACACAAACAAATGGTGATACAACATAAGAAAAAAGTTGGGAATTAAAAAATAAACTACTACTGTTTTGCAAGAGAGAGAAAGATATAAAGAAAAAAAATGGTTCATCAGTGATGTAAGAGACCTATCTGCAATGAACACAGTTTGTTTGGATTGTTGTAAGTGAGTGGTCACATAAATTTCCCCCACTACATACACAAACTAGTTCAAACAAACTAATTCAAGAGAAGTGACTGTAATAAGGACCGCTCTCACTTTTGAAGAACTATAGTTTATGAACTACAGTTCATCGAATATGAATTACTATTGGTGCCACCTACTGTAACACGAATGGTGAAAGATCTGTGAGATCCATTTCTCCATCAAGTAATATCAATTTGTATATTTAACTTCTGATCGATTTTATTTAATAAAATCTACTCAAATAAAACTTATAATTATTACCTATTTTTGGTTAATGTTTACAATTTTAAAAATTAAGAGGAAATAAACATTTCTGCCAAATGCCTTAACATATTAAACATAAAAAAACACGTTAAACTACATTTACAACCTTTTCCATGCTCAAAAAAGAATATATATTTATATACAAATGATAAATAGAGAAAAATGCAATTTTGATACATGATAAATGGCTACCCAGAGTCTGATTGAATTGTAAGGAGGAATTGGAATAGGAGGGTTTTAAATATGGATCGGGATGGTGCATGGCGGATTTTAAGTGGGATGGAATTCCAAAAGGTAGTGGAGCGGACAATAAAGGAGTGTTGAAAGGAGGCAGATTTGTGGAAAGGGGTAAGGTCAGAAGGACGAGATCTTGTGGAGAGGGAGTAGATAGATGACTTGAATTGAAGGAGATTGAATGCATAGGACGGACGATGATTATGGATTATTTGGTAAAAGAATGTACCTAGGAAATATTGTTTTCTGAAGGAGGAGAAGAGACACCCTAACTCGGCGTAGTAGTGAGATACACGAGAACGTCTCGGGGTTCCATTGACAAATCTTACTAAGCCATTCATGACTTTTCAATCTGTCTCCCAGTTCCGATGAGAGGCCACCGTACACTACGCAGCCGTAGTCAAGGTGGGGGAAGATGAGGGCGGATACTAGGAGTCTACGTGTGGACAAGGGCAGGAGATGGCGGAAGCGATGGAAGAGTTTCAGGGTGGAAATTGAGCGTTGGGATATTTGGGAAATATGGTGATTCCAGGAGAGGGTTTGATCTATGAAAATACCTAAGTTTTTAACTGAAGAGTTGAAGGTGATGGGTTGGTCATTTAGGTAGAGGAGAGGAATGTTGGAATTGGATCTGAGAAGGGGTTTGGAACCAATGACAATGGATTGGGTTTTAGCAGCGTTTAACCTTAATTTATTTTCATTTGCCCAGGCACAGATGCGATTTAGATCTTGTATTTTGGCAAACTCATCATGCCACTCAGAGGGAGCGAAGGAGAGGTAAATTTGGGAATCATCGGCATAAAGGTGATGGGAACAGTGAAGGATTGATTTATGAAGATCGTTAATATATGAACTAAAAAGGAAAGGAGATATACTAGAACCCTATGCCACTCCTGAGGACAGGGTTAGACAGAAAAATAAAGATTGGATAGGAACAGAGACTGCTTGGGTACGTTGAGAGAGGAAAGATTGAAACCAAAGGATAGAGCTGTTGGAAAAGGATAACGATTTTAATTTGGAGAAAAGGATGGAATGGTTAATGGTATCAAAGGCTTTGGAAATGTCAAGGAGTACAAGGACAGTTAGTTTTTTGTCATCTATGGCGGACTGAACATCACTAATGATTTTGATTAGGGCGGACTGCGTGGAGTAATCTGGTCGAAAACCAGACTGGAAAGGATCAAGTTGGTTGGACTGTTCGAGGAAGTTCGAAACTTGGGATTGGACTATTCGTTCCAGGGGTTTTGCAAGGTTAGAAAGGATTGAGATTGGACGATAATCATCAGGGGAAGAAGGGTTAGGATTTTTAAGTAAAGAGCAGACAATGGCTTTTTTCCATGAGGACGGAAATACTGAGTTCAGCATATTCCACGTTTTTTTCATTACCTTTTGTTTTAAGAAATTACCAATCAACGTAATTATTAAAGATCTTGATTACTAATGTTTTCTTTTTTTTCATAAATATATGTATAATTTTCTTCATAAATATTTATATATGTAAATAAATATATAAATATATGTGAATATAATTCATAAATATTCATTTCATTTTCCATGTTAAATTTTTCTTTTTCTTTTTTTATTTCTGAAGGTCATAAAATATTATCGTGTTTTATATTATTTTTGTTACCATTTTTTTTTCATCATTTCGGAGAGATAGCATTTATAGTTTAAACAAAATTATAAATATCATAAATATAAAATGGAAACATTAAGCCAATGACCCTTAGGGGTAGAGGCTAAATAAACAAAAAAAAATATATATATATATATATCATTTAATGTGACATTTAATAACAAACTGTTTATTTTTCTGTCTGATTTCTTAGGTTTAAGAATTCATTAATTTTGGTTGGCATATCCATGATTGAAATTGATTGAATTGCGGTAGATTCATGTTTATATTATTTTATGATGCATTGTCAAGTGGCAATTGAAGGAGTACTAAAAAAGAAATTATCAGCTAACAATAGGCAAGAAGACAACTCATTACTGAAGTACACCTCCTCCTAAGGCGTGTTTCTCGTCTGTAAGATTCAATTGTTCTAAAATTTCAAATAAGTCCATTATGAATTAATCTTTCTTATTTCCGATCCAGGCTCAACTTGTACTAAAATAATTATGAAATTTTAATCAGTGAAGTAGATACAGGCACAATCTACCACTAGACCCGCCTGTTTTGGCAAAAGGATGATTCGATCCTACCATATGCTGGTGATTCTACTAATAGGATTCGTGAAATTTGGTAAGCAGTGTTGTCCATTGGATCATAATATAATTTTAGTTCGTTGTTAGATAAAAATCAATGAGCCAAACTTAAATTGAAGTATATTGAAGTACATCTTAAGTAGAATGAGAGTAATTGACATTTTTGTATTCTTAAAACACTTTTTTATTATTTTTTTAAAACCACTTATTGCAATTTACAACTGCATAAATGATTTAGTAATCAGAATTTGAGAGCTGTTTCTCGTTGTTGTAGTCTTGTATAACGATTCCAAGATGCTTTGCTTCCTCACTACCGAAGATAGGAAAGATAGGCAATGACATTGTGTTCGTGCGAGAGGTTAAAAAAATGTGCACAGAATCGAAAATTTCCGCTCGCGTTTTACGTTTCAGACATTAAGAATCAAATTTGGTTCGATGTGTCTGTCTGTAATCAAATCGATGTGAAGGGCATATCACATAGTACCTTTCATCCAATTTTCATGAAATTTTCAGGGATTGTGCGGATCGGTGCCTAGATGGTCCCGATCATTTTTTCTAATTCCATCCAGCACTTCCACATACAAACGCGCAAATGTACGTTTTTAGATATGCCAATATTTCAGAAAGGGCTCGTTCAATTTGGCTCAGAAGTTGAATAAAAGGTAGGCAATGGTGAAAAAATAATGTAATGCCAATTTTATTTATCCTAGTATGAATTTCATTGAATTCTATTTAATAATTAAAATTAATATAAATAATTGTTAATAACAATATAATGCCAGTGAAATGTGAAAGGCATCGAGCATATGGAGTGAAAGTTAGGTTAAGACGATATTTTTATGGGGTTATAAATTTTTAGGTTTTATTCAGTAACGTACAGAATAGTAATAGCCAACGACTCATAGAATTTTGTATAGAAAATAATTTACTTATAGGAAACTCGTGGTTTAATCATAAAACAATATATAAGATCACTTTCGAAAAAAGAGGAGCTCAGGGTATGAGAAGAAGTATCATTGACTATTTCATCATGGAACGAGACCTCAGGAGGTACATCACAGATATTAAAGTCATAAGGGGTGCAGGACTCAGTACAGATCACAAGCTACTAGTCGCTGATACTAAAGCTATCAAGCCAAGGAAGAAAACTAGCAAAGTATTTAATAGAATTGATGTTAAAAATTGAAAGCAAACAAAAAGAGTACAGAACAATGCTGGAGAGCCGCCTTCAGTTAATAAATGGAGATATTGAATTGGATATTCTTTGGAAAGAAATTAAGAATTGCATCATCGATACAGCTAGTGAAGTATGTGGTATTAAGAAAATGAGGCCGTCTACCAAGAAAACAAAATGGTGGAATGATGAGGTGAAAAGAGCAGTAAAGCTCAAGAAATGAGGCCAAAAGAATAATTAAATCAGCCAAGACGAGGACCTGGGAGCAGTTCGGTCAGGAGTTAGAACAGAATCATAGAGAGTGTTAGATTTACATCCACAATTTTGTATAAATACATAATATTTAGAATTATATTTTCACTTGAATAAATAAGACACGGGGACCCCCGGTCGAGAGAGAGAGGGTGCGAGACCGGCCTCCTCATCAAACTGTACGTAAATCAAATTAATTATTCACAAGTATTCTATCACAAACATTTATTTCTTTTATATTTCTCAAGAAAAGGGGCTCCCGGGTATATGGAATGCACCGGGCCCTCTCCCTCCCTCCCCCCAATATTGAACAGAGAGAATATAAGGAGATTCTGGCATATTGTAAAAGCTCTGAAAGTCAAAAAGTCGAAACCGGTCAGAAGTATAAAAGATGCAAATGGCAAGTTGGTGACTGAAGAGAAAGAGGTATTAGAAGTATGTTCTTTCAGTTCTTCCAGGAAAAATTTAGTATGGAAGAACACCGACGCCATAATCACAGAGACTTCAGAAGAACAGTGATGGTGGAAGAGGTTTACCCGGAAGACTTGGATGACGCAATAGGCGAGGATGAGGTGGAAACGGCAGTAGCCAGAATCAAAATGGGAAAAGCACCAGGACCAGATGAAATAGCTCCAGAATTAATTAAATATAGGGGCAACGAAATGATCAAGATCCTTCAAACTCTTTTCCAAAAGATTTGGGACCTGAAGCTGATACCACGAGAATGGGAGGACAATATCATAGTCCCTATTCACAAGAAAGGAAGCCAAAGCGAATGCGGGAACTAAATGCCAATATGCCTCTCGTCAGTTGTGTACAAGATATACTCAAGAATTCTTGAACAGCGACTAAGGCATATAGTAGTGCAAGATCTAGAGGAAGAGCAAGCCGCTTTCAGACCCGGCAGACAGACCCAAGACCACATATTCTCACTACGGATGATTGTGGAAAAAGCATGGTACCGTGGAAAATTTCTGGATTTTAGGGCCGCATTCGACTCAGTTCTGTGACAAGAGATATGGAAATCACTAATTAGAAGAAGAGTACCTGCAAACTTGGTGAGTGCTATTAAATAGATATACCAATGAAATGGTGTTTTGGAAGGTTATGCGAGGTCTATAGTGTAATTGTCTATAGCTTTTGATTACGAATTTTCTAGTTATTTATAGTGTTTTTTGTGTTAATTGTTCTCTTTTGTGTTATGTTTCTGTTATTTCGTTCATTAATTATGTTATTTTGTCGTTACTGTACCTGTTAATTTCGTTTTATGGGTGTATATAGTTTTGGACTGTTAGGTTAAGTGTTTCTTTTTAAGTGTTATTTCTGTAGTGCGTTTTGTAAAGTTCTTCAGTGGTGAAATATTGGGGTAGACATTGTGGTACTTTAAGGTAAGTGTCAGTGTAAGACTCATCAAGTTTATTTCACTATAACCTTTTGTATCTATTAACATTTTTCCAGAAAATAGTTTTAAAGTATGTTATGGGGAAAATATTCGATTCCTTGGTAGCTAAAACTACCTTAAGCTTCCGTAGGAAGCCCAAAGACTCTTTAGGAAAAGATAAATAAGTTTTCTTTTATTTAAAAGTTAAAGGTGCATGACATGTTAACAAAAGTTATCGTTGAGACTTCTATGCCAGAGGTTTCTATCCCAGATTCAGCACCTCAACAGCTACAGCCTAAGGCAGGATCCTCTGGCTAGTCAAGATATGGATCATTCTTCGGAGGTAACAGAAACATTTGTAACCGTCAACAGTAAGAGAAGGAGAAAAAAAACAAACTAAATCTACTAATAAAGCAATTACTTCGTCAAACAGAGTGATCTCAATAGAACCGAAAGCTCTAGAACAACGGCAAGAGAAACCAATAACCATTGCGGATATTGTGAAATCTTTGCTTACAAAGCCAACTCAAACTGAGAGATCGATTTATATCACTATAAGCGGAACGGGCAAGAGACCAGCAGATATAATCAATGGGTTGCCTTCATCAAACGAAATTGGAGTAAAGGCCTCCATCGTCCATACGACCAAGACTGGCTCTGTGTTGGTCCGCATGGATAATAGTAGTGATGACATGAAGGTGATTGGATGGCAATGGCTAAGAGATAGTGCCCTTCAAGCCAAACTTGCCTTGAGGAAGAAACCTAGATTGGAGGTGCAGGGCGTCCTCCTCTCATGGGATTCAGCGGAGTTGGTGAGATTTTTATGGGAAAGAATACCCGAGAAGTCGGTCCCCACTCCGCTGGTCGTTGATGATATCCGGCCACTTTTTTCCTCAATGGCAAGAAATGGCTTTACAAAAAATTGAATGATAGAAGTGCACCCTACAGCTCGGTTCCTGCTGTTGGAAATAGGAATCTTAGATGGAGGATGGTGGAGTATTACAATCAAAGACTACCTCGATGCTCCTCGATGCAGGAAATGCCAGGGATATGGGGACACTAAGGCCACTTGCATATCAAATGCCGTAGTCTGCATTTGGTAAGCGTCCACTGGCCATGTTATTAAAGATTGCCCTAAGGAAAAAGAGCTGGCTAGCCCGTCATGCATCAACTGTGAGCTCGTGAATGCGCTTGCTAGTCAAAGGAAGCACAAGGCGGGAAGTCGGGAGTACCCTGTGCACCTGAAGTGGACTAAAGAGGTAGCGAAGAGGACCTTTTATGAGTGAGCTTACCATCCTCCAGCTCAACATGGGCCGCCGGCATATAGTGGCAAACGAACTCCGAGCTTTTTCTCCGCGCTACGATGTTATGGTGGTTCAGGAACTGACCTGCCGTGGGAACTTAGTAGCGGGGTTTGGCCTCACATCGAGAGTTATAGCTTTGGGCAGTAGAAAGAGGAGGCACAGAGCTGCTATTGTGATTAATAATCCTAACCTCGATGTGATGGATGTGAGGCAGTATACCACGGCGGATTGTGTGGAATGTCATATCAGGTGGCGTAATATTTCCTTTACGCTAGTTTTATCGTACATGCCTCATGGAAATGACATAGAAAATGACATAACCGCCGTGGAGATGATCACGGCTTGCATTCGGAACGTGATCATCTGCTCAGATACCAACTCTTGGAACACGGTCTGAGGGTCCAATTGAACAAATAGACGAGGCGTCCAGCTCGGTGAATTTATAGCAAGGAGCCAGCTACTAGTCATAAACCATTCCTCCGCTATCCCAACGTTCTTCAGTGGAAGAGACCACAGCAGGATCGATGTGACTTTGGCATCACCGGTGCTGGCAAACCGCATCATCGATTGGACCCTTCGATCTGAGACGAGTTCCGACCATCAGGCGATATCTTTTAGGCTGGTGGAAAGTTCATTAAGTTCCCATGGCATGGGCTTAAGGGTAACTTAACCCCAAGAAAAGATTGGAGCGCCTTCCGGTCGACTCTGGAGGAAAAATTGGTCGATGAGAAATGGGATGAGGTTGATATGGATCAGACTCATGATCTGGATTACAGGGTATCAAGGATCACAACTGTCATCCGTGATGCTGCTGAAGAATCCCCTCCAGCTTCGGAAGGCGAGAGCTCGACCTGTCCCATGGTGGACACCGGCCTTAACTATGATGAAGAGAGAGCTCTACAAGGCCCGACGATCGTATCAGAGGTGTATTTGTGACGAGAGGCGCATTACACTTCGTGACGAGTACAAGTCTAAAGCCAGGGCCTATCAAAATGAGGTGCGCTTACAAAAGGGGAAGTCTTGGGACGAGTTCATTGTTGAGGAGTCATCCAAGAATCCTTGGGGTATTCCTTACAGAGTGGCTCTGGGTAAGTTGACACCACTACAAGTGATTGCTGCGCTCAAGTGCGGAGCTACCCTGGCAACCACTCTGGAAGAGACATCGAAGATGTTTATAGCAGAAATCTATCCCAGAGATGATCCGTCTTAAGATAATGAAGAAGAGGAATTCATAAGGCTCACTACGGTATGTCCACCTGGTACGGACTTGTGCCCACCATGGGACATATGGGATCTCCGTGCTGATGTGGACAGGCAAAGGACTGGTCGTGCTCCCGGTTTAGGCGCAATCGATGCGGCTATGCTAAAGAATAGTATCCCCTATATCGAAGATACATTGTTGGAGTTATGCAGTGATTGCCTCGATAGGGGATACTTTGCACGAAATTGGAAAATTGCCGACATAAGGCTCCTTTACAAGGGAGGAGACAAGGACAAGCAATTAGCCAAGTCTTATAGGCCTATATGTCTCCTCCCTGTTATGAGCAAAGTTTTAGAGAACCTACTCCTGGCGAGCCTACGATCAGTCTTCTCAAGAGCGAGCCATCCACGGCAGTACGGATCCACTAAAGGTAGGGGAACCGCGGATGCCCTGCTGAGAGTACGCAATGACGTCGAAGAGTAGACGGAGAAGTTATATTATGCTCCTCCTGTTTGATATCATCTCCGCCTTCGATAGTTGGGTGGCCTTGCGTACTCCAGCAGTTGCAGAATTATGAAGCTCTCAGCAACTTGTACGAGCTATTACCGAGCTATCTTCAGGACCGAACTTTAAGAATACGGGCTAACTTCTTCGAAGTCCATGGAACTCCATGGAAAGAGGTTGTCCCCAGGGTTCTGTTCTAGGTCCTGCCCAATGGAATTTAGTCTTCAATGAGTTGTTGGGAGTACTGGAAGAGGAATGGTTCCCCGCCACGGTTTATGTAGATGATCTGGCCGTTTTGGTAGCCTCGAACAGCAGAGCCCGACTGAAAGAAGAAGCTGAAAGGTGCACCAACCTAGTAGAAGAGCGGTGCAAGAAGAAGAAATTCAGGATGGCCGCCAAGACTCAGGCCATCCTCTTGAAAGGCACCACTGATAGGGCTCATCCTATAACAATGGTTATACAAGGATCACGACTACTTCCAAGTGAGGTTGTCACCTATCTTGGTATTAGGATTGGAAGAAAGTTCAACGAGACACCTCACTTGGACTATTTGAGAAGTAGGGTAGCCTTACCCTTAACGGACTCAGTCGTATTAAGGGCACATTTTGGGGCCTCAGGTACCCAGCAACTATGACCATTTATAAAGGTGTTATTGTGAGTATCCTGAGGTATGCGTCCCCTGCCTGGAACCAAAATCTCTCGCACAGACAGAAATGTAGGTTGGCCACGATTCAGCGGACGGCTCTGCTTCGAGTCTTGATTGGAGGTGACATCAATCAATCCTTGACATCCTGGAAGAGAAGCAGTTGAAATGGTTCGGGCACATCTGCAGAATGGACGACACCCGAAAGGCCAAGTGGTTTATGGAAGCTAGACCGGAAGGCAGGCGACCTCGTGGCAGGACGAGACACACCATGATTATATTGGAAAACTGGGCACAGCAAGAGGACGCACCATAACTGAGATGAGAAGACTAACCGGGGACAGAGACTAGTGGGCAAGATGGGCTAGGACTGCAGCTCCACGCTTAACGGCGCAAAGGAGGATGTTTTGTACCATCAATTTTTGGAGTGAAAACATGCCGATTAAGTACATATTACTACTAATAATGCAAAAGGTCGTATGTGAGAATTTTCAACTTTTAATTCTATTTGTGCTAAAGGTGACATTTCGTATTCTGCAACTGATATAAGCATTCTGCTACGATGGAAAATAGCAGAGGGTAATAAATTATGAAATTACACTAATAAATCATAACGAAACTATTAGTTTTTGTGCTTTCCTGTAAAACATTTAATGTTGACATACGACCTTTTGCACTAACAGTAGTGATATTCATGTTCAGTAAGCACTGAATTTATTTTAATCACAAATCAGCAAACATGCAATCTATTTTGCGGATCTTTTTCGCATTTTAGAATTCGCTGATAAACATAACTCGTGGATATCAAACCCGTATATGTTGAGGGATTACTGAATTTTCAAAAATGGCTTTTTCCAAAGATTTTATTCTCACGCGAAAAAATTTAGACCTAGTAATATAGATATTTTTTAGCCAATGCAATCGGTGAGTTGGCATATACTGATCTTAATTGGCATACATTGTTGAAATGGAGTTTAAAAAAAGTGTAGCACAGAATGCAGTAGGTGTACGATGTTTATGAAACTGTAATCGTATTATCTGTTATTTATTTTTGGGAGTGGGGTAGTTCAGTGGTAGGGTGCTGAGCTTCCAATGCTAAAAGTTCAGGTTCGAACCCCGGCTCATGGCAGAAAATTTATTTATCTGTTTCATTCGTGGGGGGCGACCCTGGGTCGGCATACCTTCCTTGGGGCACACCCAGCCTCTATAAAGTGGGTGCCCTTCATTAAATAATTAATTAAGGGAGAAAACGGGGAGAAAAGGGGTTGAGCGTGATCTCGGTCAAATCACCTCCTTGCACAACCGTTGACTTAGAAACAGTGCTTTCCCTAAGTAGTACTGAACCCAAGACCCTTCATGGGTTTTAAAGGTACAATTTTTTTAAAAATTTATTTTACTATATCTCTGATGTTGAAGGGTAATCGATACATCTATCAATTCGGCTATGGACCAAATATTGGGTTGTTGTCAATGGAAAGATGAAATATCAATAATATACCAGTTTATTCTTTTATTGTAAGCATTAATGCATTTTATCCTAAAAACGCACTTATAACATTTATCCACTCGATTTAATGAAAACTCTGTTTGTGCATCACACAACATTCACTTACCACCCTTCTTCAAGCAGAAATAGGTATTTTCATAGGTGGTTGGTTATGAAATTATGGGCAATTTTGATGTCCCCAAGATATAAATTAAAAAATCTAGTGATGTTCACACATAACGCAAATTTCACTTACCACCCCTTCTTGGGTAGAAATAGCTATTTACATATAAAGGTTGGTTGGATGGTCGTTTTTATGTTTTCGGCGTAAAACGTCTAGTTAATCAGCGGTCGATTAAGAAAATAATACTTCTATTAAAACATAGCATTTCCAAGTCAATTTCAACATTCTACAAATCAATTTCAACTTTTTCCAAATCAAATTTAACCTTTTCCAAGTCAAATTAAACCTTTTCCATTTCAAATTCAATCTCTTTCATTTAAAATTCAACTTTCGATTTTTTGTAAATTTTCGATTTTTTTCCGAAATAAAGGCCACTTGCTATATTATCGAAGATATAGTTTTAGAAAAACGCAAAAAAAAAATGTGATAAAGCGGTTGCCTATCGATTTATTTTTACTTTTTAGATTTTTTTCAGTATAATATTTTCACATCATATGCAGTTTTCCAAGTCAATCAACTTTCAATCACCTTTTCCAAATCAAATTAAACTTTTTTTAAGCCAAATTCAACCTTTTCTATTTCAAATTAAAGTTTCAATTTTTTGATTTTTTTTTCGAAATAAGGGCCATTTTCCAATATGAGGGTATATTATTATCCTCCCCTAGATAGAGTTTTTCAAAATACTATCGATTTTATGTTAAACTTTCGGATATCGATTTATTGTATCTATTCGGATTTATTCTATATAAGGGTCTACTATTATGTTATCGTGTACCTAGTTTTTGGAAATAATCTTCATTTTAAGATAACGCCACTGAGTTTCGACTTATTTAGGTGTTTGGTACTTATTCGATATAAGGGTATATTCTTATGTTTCCGGAACCGTAGATTTTGAAAATTATCTCCATTTTAAGATTACGCCACTGCGCTTCGAATTTTTAAAAAATTTCGGATTTTTCCTTGTTTTTATGGTGTATTCTTTCTTATGGTTCCGGAGCCGTAGGTTTTGAAAATGACCTCCAAAACATGAACGATTGTTTTTGTACATTTTGTAAATTGTGAATGTCATTTAAATAAACGTACTATTATTATTACTAGAAGCTTTAATTAACCTTTTTTGAGTTAAAAAAAACTTTTTTGCTTAGTTATATTATTTAATTTTCATTTTGTCATATTATTTTCGAAACTACTTTTATTATTATTGAAAGAATAACGACACACTTACCTACTAACAGTTCTACCTACTATTATAGATATATTACATCTATATATTAGCGATATATTTAGTAAGTTTTTACAGAGAAAGAACACATTCTCAATGTAAGCTATATCTAACAAATCATTGTCCAAAATATTCGAATATTACTTTAAACTGATATTAGAGAGAATTTATATTTAATCATCCAGAAAATATTTATCTTAGAAACGCATTGAAATATGAAATGTGAGTTTTTGTGTGTTGCGCGTAATTAAGACTACAAATTTAACATTTAAGACTATTAAAAACAAAAGTTTTTTACTTTTCTGGTACATCCTTTTAAGTTTATATTTAAAATATTCTCTGTATCTTTGTAGAATTGATATCGGCTTTGCACGAGTACAGAGCAACAGAAGAAGATTTATCATTTCTATACTGTAAGAGGGTATGTAATGGTCAACCTAAAAACTGCTACTTCAAGCTGTTCATCGAAAGATATAGTGTTCTTGGAGGGTGAATATTAGCTCAAAAGTATAGTTTAAGATAATTAACATTACAGAAAATGCATGGCAGTTACGCCACATTATCTCATTATCCTCTATAAATTAAATCACTTAAAAAGATGTATAAAATAACAAGACGGTTGGACCAAAAATAACATCGATCTCACGTTAGATCCAATTCCGGGGCCATTTAAGGTGAGATATTTGTTTTTTAATTTAATTTTTCCTATATCCATATCACTTGGCCCATTAGATACGAAGAAATTAAAAAATAAATAAATTAAACACAAGTCTCTAAATCCACAAAATAAGACTGAACATGCTTTTCACAAAATTCATAAAAAGGATCCCTGCTTACTAAGGTTCCGAACTCAACTGAAAATAATCCTCCGTAAGAATCCGTTTACACTTTGGGTGAGAGAGAGTGTGACAATCCATTTTACCACAAAGATTATACCTCTAAGCTTTAACCAAAAATAGAAAAAGTAATGAGCTGGTATTTGCCGCTCTTTAATACAAAAACGTACCGAATCAAAGTGTGGCCGATTGATAATCAAGCGGGACAAAAGTCTTGAAGTCATGTTATTAACAATAAAAATAAAAATTTAATTCAAAAATATTTTGCAGAATATCTTGATTTTTTTATTTAATATTTGCAATTTAACATTTTGTTTTATATATTTACTCATTCTTAGAGGTAATTTAAATTGTATATACTTCTCTGGAAATGAGTCATATTAATATCTGTTTTATAAACTAAAGTAATATATACCTAATCTGAACTACTTTTAATGAATAGGTGATGTATTGCTTAGTAAAATTCATATATCGCTATTAAAAAAACCATTTTTATTTCCTTTATTTTATTCGAAAGTTGGACCATATCATAAAAAATAGGAACTTTTAATATTAAAGTGCATTATTCCCTCTGCACAATAGAAATATGGAAAGGGCGAAGCTATAAGTTCTTCTAGGTAACTGGAACTGATTGTTAGTATTTGGTCTCAAAATGAGGGAAAACGCGAAATTGAACCCAAAAATTGGAAAAATACATTAAGCGAACGACAAAGGAAGTGCAAAAATTTCGGAAAAGAAAACAAGGATCATTATCCATTATATGGCTAAACGAATATATATAGTAGACAAATGAACAGAATATTTCAAGATTCTGCTAAATGGGGGTAAAAATGCTTGATCAGTTTGGATGATATTAAGCAGGTTTATTATGGTGAAGACCATTTCATCAGCAAGAAAAATTTGTTCTAGGCAATTGGCAAGTCAGCTGGTCTGGACAAAGTAACCCGAAACGCTGTGCGTACAAGGCTACAAATGTATTCGAAAATTATATGAAAGGACTGTAGTTTTGTCCCTTTACAGGAAATGAGATACTAGGAATTGTTATTCGTGATTCCTTACTGTTTATAGTACCAAAGAAAGTCTACTCAACAACGTAGAAGCTAAAATTAGAAATATTGTCGATTGCCTGAGCTATATGGATTGAGAAACTCAAGTTGCACATTGGAGCATAAGTTGCAAATTGGGACTGTCTTCACTTTAAGGTAGATTATAGAGAAGTCCACAGAGAAAGAAAAATGGTTCTCTATCTGCTTAGTGCCTCACACTTTGGATTGATCGAATATCTACTAGTCTTTCACAAAAGCTCGTTTTCCTTTCAGATTCATTCAAAAATCTTTTGCAATTGCACTAAAGAAGAGCAGAGCTATTTCCTTTTATCAATAGACCTCTGTATAACCTGTTTCAAAGTGAAGATAGCCCCAATGTACAACTTCAATAGCAATCTAAAATAAAGTGGTTTACACCATTATCAACCTCGTTTACTTCCTCCAGACCTGCTTGCCAATTGCTTAGAGCAAATCTTTCTTGTTGATAAAGTGTTCTTCACCATAATAAACCTGTTTAACATCATCCAAACCCATCAAGCATTTTTACCCTCTTTTAGCAGCATCTTGAAATATTCTGTTCATCTGTCTACTATATATTCGTTTAGCTATATAATGGATAATGATCCTTGTTTTCTTTTCCGAAATTTTTGCACTTCCTTTGTCGTTCGCTTAATGTATTTTTCCAATTTTTGGGTTCAATTTCGCGTTTTCCCTCATTTTGAGACCAAATACTAACAATCAGTTCCAGTTACCTAGAAGAACTTATAGCTTCGCCCTTTCCATATTTCTTTTGTGCAGAGGGAATAATGCACTTTAATATTAAAAGTTCCTATTTTTTATGATATGGTCCAACTTTCGAATAAAATAAAGGAAATAAAAATGGTTTTTTTAATAGCGATATAACAATTTTACTAAACAATCCATCACCTATTCATTAAAAGCAGTTCAGATTAGGTATATATTATTTTAGTTTATAAAACAGATATTAATATGACTCATTTCCGGGGAAGTATATACAATTTAAATTACCTCTAAGAATCACTAAATATATAAAACAAAATGTTAAATTGCAAATATTAAATAAAAAAATCAAGATATTCTGCAAAATATTTTTGAATTAAATTTTTATTTTTATTATTTTATAATAGAGGCCTTCTTAAGCGATCTCTGTATAGAATAAATGAAGTTAAATTAAAAAAATAATAATAAATTTAAAAAAAAATAATTTTTTACAATTAAATTATTTTATTAATAGTTGTTCGTTAATATAATCAATAAAATGTAACAAAAACGTTATTATAGCACTATAACTAAGCCATTTATGAGTACTGAGTGGTGTGGTAGAGGCCTGTAGCCACCCACGCCAGTAGCGCTTTTCTGCCGCTTAAGTACATTTTCTACGGAACTACTTCAAATATTTTAAAAAGTAATCAGTGTTTTAGAAAGAGAAATGTATTCTCCAGATGTTTTATTTCAGCACGTTTTGCATTACTGTTGACCGTTTAATTACAAACGACGCTTGATTTTCAACTTTAAAATTTTTTTGTAAAAAAAATTGAATTTACCAATTTTTTTTAATGCCTAAGCCAATTAGTTTTTAATATTTTTTCATGTTTTATTATTATCTGACTATCCAGCTTTAATAAAAAACCAACTATAATGAAATTAAGCCAAATGCTGATTCTCAGTAACAAAAAAACTAACTAAAGTCAAAGTCGTCAATCCGCCATGTTTGGACGCCATTTTGGGGCAGTTCGTTCACTTTTTTTTGTGGGAACATTGGCTTTTTTTTAATAAATTGTCACAAGGAACACAACTATATGCAATTCATAGGGATGTGGGGGGGGGGAGGGGAGGTGCACGGTAAGGGGGTTTGGCCCACCGTGTATTCCCCTTCCCCTCCTACTCCCTCCCTTCCACCGCTCTCCTCTCTAGGTATGCCAATACCTGTTGCCGGACTTATCCTAAACAATAAAATTTTATTAATATTATGAATTTATAATAACTTCATTATAAGAAGTAAGCATATTAATATTGAAAATAAGTATTATATTTGGCGGATATGATAGTTATGTAATCAATCCAATATTTAAATAAAAATAAATTTTAGTGCTTGCCTAAATTGTACTTTCGGCACTGCTGGGCATTGTCATAAACGACAGTGCGTTACTGCTAATGGGCGTTACAGAGGTATGATTACAGTAAATAGGCAACTACCTGCACCATCTATACAGGTAAATTTTACTCATTATTTTTTAATGTTTGATTAATGAATAAGAACTCATTTTTAGTATTATCTTGAGAAAGCATATACTCTTTTTTATAACTATATGCTGAATAATTTTTAGGAATAACATTTTCAGTATGCGAAAATTATAATAATCTTATATAACATTAAAAAAAACTTAAATTCTTGATAGTTAATTGAAAAAATAGATAATATAAAAAGGATCTTGAATACCTAGGACAAAAATAAAATAATGATAGAGACAGTATTTTACAGCTAATGATTTATAACTGTGTTAAATTCAGCAAAGTGTAAAATAAGTATTCGGTTGAATAAAATAGTTGCAGTTGAGAGTTAAATTTGTAACTATTAGATATTTTTTCATCTGAGAAATTTTTCTATCCTAAAGATCAATTTTTAATTTGCTCATACTACTTATATGAAATATTATGGAAATTAGAAAACTACCAAATCTCAATTTTGACCATGACATGATAATTAGTAAGCATAAAGTATTTCTAGGTATCCTGCATGAATTCACTTATGCCCTTAATACATTATATATTAAATAAAATGTATATATATACATCTTAGAAATACAAACACTTGTGATTGTGACGGACAAACTAAACAAACATTTGAAGTCCCTAATACGTTAATATAATTGAACACACGAATGAAAACGAGCAGGGGAACACTGAACGATTAAAAAAAAAATATTCTGTTCAACAAATATAAGAAGGAGTAGTTCTAATTTGTAAAATCAATAAACTTGAAAATTAAATTGCTGGGCGGAGTGGCCGAATGGGCTAACGTGTGTGCACAGCACCGCAAGTTGCCCGGCAACCCGATAATCATATTTTGAGATTGAAAAAAAAGTACGAGTTCGTGTCTCGGTGCCAGAGAGGATTTTAAATTTACCGCCCTCACCCTCCGGTCCGGGAAAATCCCGTATAACCTAAAAGTCGAGGTAGGGAAGACCAGGAAAAAAACAAATAAATATTACGTTGCTGAAAAGAGAGTAACAAAGTTAGTACCACTGAAATAATGATAACCATAAGAATAAGAAGAAGAATGTAAACTACATTCCAAAACTCAAAGAAAAGAAGAGCTGCTAAATTAAAAGCTCTTAATAATCCTCGCGAAGACAATATTGTATCCTTCCGAACATTAAAGAATAAAACGACTAAATTGCTTGGGATAAAACTTTATTAAAGTATTGGGTGGGCTTTGGCGCAGCATAGAGACATTTGTGTGAGGTTTCGAAGGGATTTACATGTGGTACAATAGTGTGGTAGTCGAGTACGCCTGTAGTGTCTTCTAGTAGCCTGTCTTCTCCTCATTAGTTTTCTTATTTCTGTATTGATCCAAGGAGCGGGAGGACGACTAAGGGTACGTGTTTTTAGAGGTGCATGATGATTGAGGAAATCAAGGAGGTAGGAGAAAAGGCTTTCAACCATGTCATCGATGGAGGTTATTTAATAAATGGGCTGTAGAGAAGCGGAAAGGGAATCGAGAAAAGGATTAATCTTATTTTTCTGTGACAAATCATTTAGCTTGCACCCCCGCCTCTTCCGAAACTTAAAAATTAGAATCTATAAAACGATTATCCTACTTATGGTTCTTTATGGATGCGAAACGTAGCCAACATGAAGGGATGAGGTACTTCTTAAGGTTTTTGAAAACAAAGTATTGCGTAGAATATTCGGAACAAAGAATGATGAGTCAACCAGAGAGTTCAGACGGTTAAACAACGCCGAATTGCGTGAATTATATCCGGTTAATATAATTGAGGTGATTACATCGCGGAGAATTAAATGGGCTTGTAAAATTGTACCTAGCAACGAAAGACGTCCGAGGGATAGACCGAAGCGAAGGTGGGAAGATTGCGTTAAGACTGATCTAATGGGACTGGGTTTGGAAGGCAACCGGTGGAGGGAGGTGTGTAGACAGCGATTGGTGGTGTCGGTATCGAACCTTCGGGTTCGCTAAGCCTTTTATTGTTATTACATAGAGCTTGAATTATTCTTCTTTTGGATAATCAGCTATTGGGACATAGACTTGCGTCAAAATAATCTTCCTGTATTTTCCCTATATTATTAGATATAGAAGCAATCCAACAATTGAAATCCTGGAATTCATTGACCGAGTTTTTTAATTTGCATGTCACATAAAAAACCAACACCGAACCGTCCGTTAATAGTTGCTGTGTGCATGTAGGGGTTTCTATTTTTTCTCTCAATTATAGCTGAATAATTTCTCGCTACTTCAGTAAGTCCAACGATATCCCAAATTATGTTCCCTAATGCTTCTTCAAATTCCACTGAATGCTCTCTTCCCTCAATATTTGAATGCTCTCATGTTTTTCCATGTATAAATGAATATCTCACGTTCCTTAAAAGATCAGTCCAGGTATGTCTTAGTTGCTATTTTCCCTTCAATCCCTGTTCACGTATTCCTACTTCTGTTTTTGGACCACCTCCTACATTACTTTTATCTTCTCCCATCTTTAACTTGCGACTTAAATACTTGTTAAGGTTATGACTTCTCTGTGGAGGTTTTTCTCCTTTTTCTTTTTTTTTTTTGCACTTTGTGACTAGGTTTTTTAATTAAACATTTGTCTCTTTTTTCCCTATCTTCGGGAGAGCTCTCTTCACTTCTTTCTCTCTTATCCATCCACTCCTTTAAAACCTTCAAATCGTCTAAAGTGTAGAACATACCTTCTGTTATTAGCTCATTGAATCCCCTCTTTCCTATTCTGTCTTTGTTTTTCAAGATAAGGAAAGAGTTGTCTTATCGCTCTCACCTTCGGTAACAGGTCCTCTTTGATTCTTATGTCATTATATTCACTACATTTTAACAACTCCTATTTATATCTCAAAATGTCATACTTCATTGCTACTGACGTGAGGGCTATTAAAACCGCTCTTTCTATCATTTTTCTTTATTTAGAAATATTATACGATCCCCAACACATAAATGAACAGAGTACCAGAGTCCAATAGTACCAGCAGTGGATTAAGTAGCTCTCCTGCTGTCGGCCGGTTTGCTAATTTCATTAACAGAACAGTTATACTCCTTTCTTCAAATACCTTCTCTTTCAGTATGAAAACGAGACTTTAAACGCTTATTAATTGTAACTAATATTATATGTGAATTTTTTTCAAGGTGGGTGTACTTATTCCAAACTTACTAATCACGAGCGTAGACTGAGATGTTAACTCTACAGTGGCTAGGGTCGAACTCAATAATAAATAAATAAATAGAATATTATAAATTTATTGAATATTTAATAGTTGATCGTTACATTACAAAGGAAGGAGATGGTCCGGGGTGGCGGTCGTAAATAGGCTAAATAGTGGTAAAACTATTTTATTAAAAGCCAACTTTTCGAAGAAGCAGGTCTTCTTCAGGGCTAGAACGGACAAGATACAAAAAGATAGAAAATTGTGGAAGTTATATAATATTTAGACAAAAAATTATAAACAATGTGAATAAGCTTATTATAATTTATTATTTATTTACAATTTATAATTTATTATAATTTTAATAAGCTTATTCACATTGTTTATAATTTTTGTCTAAATATTATGTATTTAGACAGTGATAAATATTATGTATCTTTACGGCAAATATTAGAGAAAAAATTGGAGTATAACATTATTGTTCACCAGCTGTATATAGATTTAAAAAAGGCTTACGATTCTATTGACCGCCAGAAACTGTATAATACTCTAATCGAGCAGGGGATTCCAAAAAAACTAGTAAATCTAGTCAGGATGTGCTTGACGGAGACATTAAATAAAGTTAGAATCGGTAATAATTTGTCCGAAAAATTTGAGGTTCGTTCGGGCTTAAAACAGGGGGATTCTCTTTCGCCTGGCCTGCTCAATTTGGCATTAGAACATGCTATTAGGGAGGTAATGCGAAACGAGAAAGGGTTGGATCTGGGCGGGACAACATCCGTGCTGGGCTATGCTGATGATCTGGTTAAGCGAAGACGTTGAAACTATAAAACTAAATACGACAACGTTAATGAAAGCCGGTAAAGAACTAGGACTCGAAATAAACGTGGATAAAACAAAATATATGGTTAGCTGCAAAAATGGCGATACTACTGGTGATATCGATATAGATGGTAATATGTTTGAACAGGTAGATAAATTTAGGTATCTAAGTTCTACGATAACTAGAAAAAACGAAATTGAAGAAGAGATTAAGGTTAGACTGAAGGTAGGAAATGCTTGTTATTTTTCTGTGACAAAACTACTTAGTTCGCGCCTCTTGTCCCGAAACTTAAAAATTAGAATCTATAAAACAATTATCTTGCCTACAGTTCTTTATGGATGCGAAACGTGGCCGCTTAAGGGATGAGCAGCGTCTTAAGGTTTTTGAAAATAAAGTATTGCGTAGAATATTCGGACCAAAGAAGGATGAGTTAACCGGAGAGTTCAGACGGTTACACAACGCCGAATTGCGTGAGCTGTATCCGGGGTAATATAATTGAGGTAATTTCATCGCGGCGAATCAAATGGGCTTGTAAAGTTGTTGGGCTTAGTAACGAGAGAATTCCTAAAAGGTTAATATTTGCTGTGCCGAATGGTAAGCGTCCGAGGGGTAGACCGAAGCGAAGGTGGGAAGATTGCATTAAAGCCGATCTGAAGGGACTGGGTTTGGACGGCGAACGGTGGAGGGAGGTGTGTAACAAGCGATTGGTGGTGTCGGCATCGAACCTTCGGGTTCGCTAAGCCTTATTATTATTATTATTATAAATATTATGTAACTTCCACAATTCTCTATCTTTTTGTATCTTGTCCGTTCTAGCCCTGAAGAAGACCTGCTTCTTCGAAACGTTGGCTTTTAATAAAATAGTTTTACCACAATTTAGCCAATTGATGACCGCCACCCCGGACCATCTCCTTCCTTTATTATAAATTTATATTCATGAAATTTCTTTTTCCAAGGATAAACTATATATTTTCTCTTTTCAGTTAAAATATGGTATATCAATATGGCATTCATTTTAAAATCTCAATATATGTTTTATTTAAATTTATAATTATAATTTATTTAGGTATGTAAAGGTGACAGAATAATCGTAGACGTGATGAATTTAATGCATGATGCTACAGTTAGCATTCATTGGCATGGTATAAGACAAAACGGTTATCCATTTTTTGATGGTGTCCCATACGTGACACAGTGCCCCATACTGCCAGGCACTACTTTCAGATATGACTTTTTTGTAAATGATGTAGGAACATTTTTCTACTATTCTCACATAGGTTAGTAGACAACATAAATAAGGTAATTATCATCAATATCTTTACGAATTTTTGTTTAACAAAAGTATCATGTTATAGGCGTACAGAAAATGGATGGTGTTTCTGGATCACTTATTGTCAGAGACTCCTACGACAGTCAGTCAGGTTTATATGACGTAGACTGGCCTGAGCATGTGATTTTCGTTAGTGATTGGTACGACAGACCAGCATCGGAGTACCTCCCAGGATACAATCATCGCGAAATGAAACAAGTTCCAGAGACCTTCTTAATAAACGGAAAAGGATTGCACTATGTAATTTATCATATATATTGTATTTTTGAAAAGTTTTGAAATTACGTCTGAACCATAAAATTAAAATGATATATATAGGTTGTCCCGTAAGTAGAGAGAATACTTAAATTTGAGATAGTATACCTCAAGAGTTATGCACGAATAATTATGCACTAACAATGGCCCGATTTTCAGTAGAAAAGTTAGAAATTAAAGTAGTGTGTTTTTTTTAAGTAAGTCGCGTTTTTTTTTTTAAAGACGAAGTGATGTCTAAAAATTGATTTAATTTAAGTAATTAAAAATTACTCCATAGCAATCTAGACAAAATTTACTTTAAACGAAAGTAAAAGTTGTCTCTGTTAAAACCTACAATATTTGAAGAGGACTTCTGAGCGGATATACTACGCTAAGTTCTGTTTTTAAAAATGTCATTAATTATTCATGATTTTTTTATCACCCTTTATCTATACTACAGATATCTCACTTTTAGAAAAATTTCCTTGTTTGATAAGCTTTAAGGTGATATTAGTTAAGTTGGATTTGATCCGTAGGATGAATAAACGAATTGATCCGTATTTATAAGTGAAAAACTTAATGTTTCTAGACTTAAAATGTACCTTTAAAATAAAGAAACCTGCTGATTTGTGCAATAATTTTCACGTAAACGTAAATACATATCAGGATTATTAGAAGTTTGTCACTTATAAATACTGAAGAGACCCGGGAGAAAAACACAGTTGCATAATCGCTTTTGATGAAAACTATTAGAAAAATCATTATTTTTAAAAACAAAAAGTAACCCCAGATCATGCAAAAACAAGAAATAAAAGTTTTGCTATATTTTTTTATTTATTTATTCAAAAACTGTCACACGGACAATAATTATAGTGAAATATGAACACATTCACAACATAGTTACAGAAAGCATAAAATAAACAAATTGTATACAATATAACCATTAAACAAAGGAAATCAAAAAGTATATACAATGAAAAATAAAATAACTTAAAAATAAGGAAATTCAAAAAACAAAACGCATACATACCTGCATACACTATTTACAATGAGGCGCAGGAACACCGAGGCAGGCTAGTCCTCCCAATGATGAAGGGAAAAGCAGGACTCCAGGAGATTCCTCTCTCAAGAGCATCGCTGGTACTAAAGCCAGCGGAGATTGATCGTGAGCTCTTTAGCCACATACACCATTGCCAAAACTTCAATATATAAAAGGTCGCGAAGCCACTAACGTTTTAACCCTCTTGGAGGATTATAGGGATTGGTGGTAATTGATAGGGATTGTGCAAGAGGATTTTGATGATACGTAAAGTTCTGATGAAATTTGAAGATTTTTTTCAAAGTAATAAAGGGATAAGGTATAGGACAAATGGGATGTTGAGGTCATGATACACAGTTTTTTTGGTTACTTAGAAAGGAGCATCAACTTTGGGCTGGAAGGATTGGATGCGTTTGATGTTAGAAAATGTTACTGTTTCCCCACAGTTCTCGCCCGTAAGTCCAGATAGGTTTCAGTATTGTCTTGTAGATGAGTAACTTGTTTTCAAAATTTAGATTTTCTATTTAGTAGTTTGTATAGTTGGCCGTGTTCAACTCAGACAACATTCGACATCATTTGGCAGTGGGCTTTATTTTTATTGAATTTGTAGGTTATACGGTTTATGAAAAATTATTCACCCTTTTATACTCTCATGTAAAAATCTTACGTGGCCTTTCTCCAGTCCAGATTTCTTAGGTCCTCTCAATTCAACTGCTGGACATCAAGTGGGGAAAGAGAGAGCTTGTAGCTTAATGCTCTTAATTTCTTATAAGATTTATGTTTTTATTAAAACAGAACAACCCTCAAAATTCCTTTTTAAATGGTTTTAACAATGACAATCTCTATTTTTCATTTTAGTCAATTTTGTCAGGTTTGCAGTAAAGCAATTGTCAATTACTTAAATAAATATTTTTTTAATTATCGCTTCCTATTTAACTGAAAACATTACACTTATAATGACAACCACTTTGATTTCTTACTTTTCTTCTGAAAATTGTTTATAGCTCTTAAAGTCTGATATTTCTCCTATGAAAAACCCTGTATATACTCATGGTCTCTGTATATAAATTATACAACCTGTATTTACTTATACACCCTGTATATACTTATGCACTCTGTATATACTAATAGATCCTGTATATTTAGGTAACGTATAGCAGGTTTGTTCCAACAAGCAGTTCTGAACTAGACCTGGGCAGAATTTGTTTGAAATTATATTCTCCGAATAAATCGTTTATAAACCTCAATAGTTATTTCAGAAATAATTTATTTCATGAAATAACATAAACATTATTACCAAAATGATTATTTCAGGAATAACGATATAATTATTTCGGAAATAATGTTATGAAAGAATCATTCTGATAGCTGCAAAACGGCTTGAAATAGTAAAACAGTATTGTTCACTCAAAATTTACTTTTCGCTAACGCCCTCGTTTATTCACCATACTAGAAATGGGCAATAATCGATTACTTTTATGATTTGAGTACATTTAGGAAAAAGTATCGAATACTTTCTGTACTCTGCCTGACATCGGCGAATACTGAAAGTACTCACGTAGCGTTAATCATGATTTAGTTAAGTACAGAAACTACTAGTGTTAAATAGAATTACAAAAAGTACTCAGCGTAATTCCTCTGAGTACCTTTTTCTTTTTCAACTATTCCACCATTATTATAAGAGTATAAATGTTTTCTCTTAAATCCTTCAATAAAAGCGTCCATATTGGACCTAACCACCCAGTAATCCTTATTAAGATCGATTATCATGTTTTGGGGAGGGGGCGCTTATTATAAAAATACTGTCGAATTTGTGATTGCTACCCGCAACACCTTTTTATAACTTTTTGGATTTAATCGATATCAGGGTCGACAATTATGTTTTCGGGAGAGAATTTTCTGAAAATACTGTCAAATTTGCGATAGCCCCTACCTCCCGCATCGCCTTTTTGTAATTAATAATGAGGCAATCTTATATCCGAAAGATTATTCATAAAAAGCGCCCCTGTAAACATAATAGTCGACTCTGATATTGATTAAATCCAAAAAGTTACAAAAAGTGTATGCGAAGAGGGAGGGAAGCAATCGCAAATTCGAAAGTATTTTCATAATAAGCTAACCCGAAAACATAATGGTCGACTCTGAAGTCGATTAAATACGGAAAATTGCAAAAAGGGGATGTGTGGAAAGGAGGAGGGCGCAATCTCAAATCCAGAAATATTTTCATAAAAAGCGCCCCCGAAAACATATTAGTCGACCTGGATATCGATTTAATACGAAAACATACAAAAAGTCGATACGAGGGATCGCAATCTCAAATCCTACAGTTTTTTCATTAATTGATACCAAAGTTGACTATTATGTTTTATATGCGTCCCAAAACATAATAGTCGACTCTGGTATCAATTAAATCCAACATGTTACAAAAATTCGATGAGGAGAGAGGAGGTGCAATCGCAAATTCGGCAGTTTTTTCATAAAAAGCGCCCCTCAAACATAATAGTCTGATTCTTTTTCTTTACCAAAACTTGGTCAAATGCAGGATCCTTCACAAGTAATCGAATTGGTGGCCCGACAAAAATGCCTTCCTTACCTTTTGCATCACTTAATTTCAGAATTTTATCTCTTATGTACTTAAAGGCCCGCCCTTTTTGGTTCTTACCATTGACAAAATTTTCATCAAACCCAGCTTGATATGGTATGGTCCACAGAGGTGGAAGTATCTTTTGGGTCCACGAGAGGCTTGGCAACAATATTTTTCGCTAGGGTTAAGATTTCTTGCAATTTCCTATCTCTGCGGTCCCAGAAGCAGCAATGTTTTATGTACTCCAGTTGTATTCATCAGAATATGGCAATGACTTTTAGATTACCACAGATTTTCCATTTGTGTTCATGATATTTGAGTGAGTAAAAAAAGGCTGTCATATTTGCATATGTTTCCTTCATTTGAACTGCATGACCAACTGGAATAGAAGAAAGAAGGTTCCCATTTCGAAGTAACACAGCTTTCAAACTAAGCTTGGAGGAGTCTATGAATAGCCACTATTCAGTTGGATCATGGTTCAAATTCAAATACTTCATCAAGCCATTAATGACGCAGAAAATTACAAGATTATTTTTTTACTCAAAAAAAGAGAAGCAGTTCCCTGTGACGTTTTCTGTACTGTGAGATTCCGACATCACTTTCGAGAAGATTCCATAGCTATAGTCGAGAACCAAGAATTTCTGCCTTCCTTTGTCAGATCAAAGTCTCTAATGAGATAACTCAATTCCGCTTGACTCAATCTGTGCGGTTTATCATCTTTTCCCTGATAATCAGGGTCACGGATTGTGGAAGGTTTGTTTGGTTCTTCTTCTTGTTCCACGCTGTCTTCATTTTCTAATTCAAAAACACAATTTTTGGGTAGGAACTGCTAAACTATCTGAATGCAGAGCGGGTCGAATAGTAGATCTAAGATCTACCTGAATACTGAACTGTTCTTCTTTTCTTCATAGACAATACTGCCTTTATAGGTGGAGTCAAGCATAATTAGCAGTTATCATGATGGTTTGGAGGCTCCCGCCAAACCATAGTCACAACGGAAGCCATAGATCGTTTCTTCTCTCGCGCTGTGTAACTGAATATGCGTTGCAACATATCTGTAGAGCCCAAGACTTATCCTGGTCTCCTATTTCCATACCGAAATAATGCTGATAGGCAGTTATTACAAGAGACGTCAGATTGCATTTCTATGAGGAAAATGTTATTTCACCTCAAATATAACAATAGTTATTCACGACACATTCTCGTGGCATTTAACGAATTTTACACTAAAAAAGCACTCTAAAACCAAAAATTCTGCATTAATTACAGCAGAAACTATATGAAACCCACAGTTACAGTAACAGTAACTATATTTATGACTTACAAACAGCTGAAGAGCATTGTGTTTTGTTATTTGACCAACTCTCCGGAAGGCTGGAGTTA